ACCAGCGGTATCCGTACATCGCCTCTGGAAGCCGCAGTCTCCGCCGGTATCCGCTCTACTCAGGATTTCACTACATCGAGCCGGTCACCAAGCGCACAACTATCCCTCCAACGACCACTGCTCCCACTACCACAACCACCACCACCACTACAACCACTGAACGATCCATCCTCTTCCCTGACTATCCCTCACTCGACCTAAGTGAGTCGTACCCAAAATACCATGCCTACGGCCACCCCACGTCGCTCGAGGACGAGGTATACAGTCCCTCTGTGGGTCTGGGGCATAGCGGGGCGCACTATCGCCAACCTCCCTACCCTCTACGGGTGGCCTACCGCTACCCGGAGCAGCGGCAAGGTCCACTCAGTCGCCTCGTGCGCCGGGTGGTGGGCTTCTACCACCGGCTGTTCTACGGACCGGCACCTCAGGGAGAGCCACCCGCGGTGTCCCCGCTTCAGCCACTGATCAGGCGTAGGATGGGACGCGAGGTAGTGTGATCAATTCACGATCTATCCGGCCTTATGCGCTGGATCGGAGACGGATAGGGGGAGATGATCCAGAGTTGTGTTACAATGAGTTGGGATGCGTTCAGAGTTTAGTAAAACTCTGAACGTAAAACAGCTGCCTTTGCTGAAGGCAGCTGTGAATGCAAACATGGATGGAGCGAGTCCTCACTGTTCTCATCTGGAGTAATTTTAGTTCGCTGGTCGCTGTCCGATGATAGCTAGGAACTGAGCCAAGGACTAAGCATTGTTGTGTTGAGTGAGTCTTCAGAGACCATGTAGGTACTTGTGCTGTTCACTCAGGTGCCTCTTCACTTTGTGTTTCAGGTTGACGACCTTTCAGGTTCAAGCGCCTTTGTTAGAAGTGTCGTAACGTGTATTCCTGCATAATTAAATGCATTATTTTTATTTGCTGGGACAATGCTGCGAAACACATTGTCACAATAAGTTGAGATGGGGCTTATAAAAATAAAACTTCCTTAGCCACCTATCACAGTGTCGTAGGTGCATATTGGGCTCATATTTCACACTGAGTCTCCATATCCCATAGCTGAAATGTTGCAACTTGCATAATTTACCAAAGGCGTGTATGTTGTTACGCTTGTCTTTGTTGTCGGAGTGGATGGTTTTCGAACAAATAATTGTATTGCTGGCATAAGTATGGTTCTTTTACCTATAGTTTCAGAAATGTAGCAATTAATAAAGCTATAACAATACGACTCCTTTATTTGCTAAGAATACCTTATCTGCAATTGAAGTATCTGCATTTGACGAAAACGCAGCGAGTTTCTTGTTGTATAACTAAACATAACCAAACCAACAGCCTTACACTGCGCTTCCTTAGGTCTACACTGAACGTAAATGCTGCTTGATCTGAGTAAGCGACTTATCCCGACTCTCGAGTAACTTATTAGTTATTAACAATCTTAGAACGATCTGGTACATCTTGAACGAAATAAAATGTGTGGTCAAAGCTGAATGATATTAGATGAATATATTTTAAAAATTCATATACTATAGGTATCAACGGTTATCATGAATGATACAATCGCTCGAGCTAAAACTAGCAAAATGTTACGTAGAAAAGCACGCCATACATTGCAGTCTTCGCACCACATCGCACGTTTACCGCATGAGAAAAAATAGACGCTAATTGCCATCAAAATCAGCGTAGTGACGATTATTGCCGAGAAAAAAGAACAGTACTGCCTCACTGATCTAGGCAACAGAATCGCTACATGAGATCACGAGAGTTTATATCCACATTCCCCTACTGGAGAAAGACTTCTACCGAAGACCCCTTCTCTGCCATTATACCGACAAACTGCCAGTACCCTGACTGACATGTCAGCCTGTCAACGGTATCGGTGTGAGTCACCGACAGTGATACATCACCTTCAGAGGTCTCCGGAGAGCGCCGGTCCCACGCCCCCACTACCAGCCGGCGCGAAACCACAACCCCGGTTCAGATGCAGCCGCAGGTTCTTCTTGGTGGAGAGCACCTTCCCACAGCGCTGACACGTGGTGACGCCGCGGTGCATCTCCATGTGGTTACAGAGCGACTCGCGGTGCCGAAACACCTTGTGACACAGCTGGCACGTGCGGCGCTCCACATCCGTCGTCGTAGACGATGGGTCGTCGCCGACGTACGCGCCGCTCATCCATGAGCTGTCCTGGCTGCTGGAGTCACCTGCGAACACACAAACGACAACGGTGTGGCTCCGGTGTATTATGCATGTGCATTGTGCATTGTGCATTTGGCAGTTGGCAACCGATGTGTAGTACCGTAGTTTCGTACAACTTCGGCCACCAGAGGCATCTTTGGCCCACGGACGGTCAAGATAGCCTGCCCTGACCGTTTTAGCCCAATTTCCCCTTAGTGTAAAAAGTTACAGCGAAACAAATCATTTTTCCAGGCGTGGGCCAAAGTTGCACGAAACTACGGTAGCTCGGGTGTGTGATTGATGTGGCTCGGGTGTAGTCATGTGCAATATGTAAGGTGCTTTGTGCAAGCGAAAGGCGAGAGGTGGCATGTGGACTTAGTTAGGCTCTATGGTTGCATGGTTGGAACCAGGGTTTCGGAGTTTGCGTCGCAGTCGCAATGAGTCGGGAGGACAAGCTAAGGGTTGAGTCAGTCATGCTCCCTGGCCTCGACTGGCTGAATCCGAAACGTTCACCTAAAAGGGAAAAGTGGACAATGACATGCCCAAACGATACGAATTTGGTGTTCTTCTCAGAAGTAATTTTGGCTTATATTTTCCTCAGTTTTCTCGAACAACATTCTGGTTTAGGTGACCCCGGTATAATTCGGCGCCCAATGACCCAGGTCAGGGTCAACCGGCTTCCTCTCGCTATTTCTTTTTATCCCGAAACAAATAGGTAGCTGATCCCCGATCCAGCAGGACGCCTTCGATGCGGTCCTCCTGCTGCATTCATAGCAGCCACCGCGGCGAAGATGCTAATGCATACCTGAACGACTTTCATGACAACGAATTTGGATATCTGCTGTATCTTGTGAAGTCTCATATGACACATGATCCATACTGGGGTATGGTTTTACGAACTTTTTTTCTAGGGCATAATGAAAGGAAGATCAGATTAGTAAGAAAAGAACACCATAAGAAACACAGATATATTTACTTCCTTGCAATATCATCTAGGTATGCACACCCCTACCTAATCGCTGCATTGCTGAACGAAAACTTGGTGGAAAGACAACAAACACTCCTTATCACAACGTCGTCTCCTCGCTATACAACATATTCACATTGCATTGTGTACTGTATGTATTGTACACATGAAGCGACTTAACGCACTCAAGGCCACTTTGCACTGCATCTTTTGAACGCCAGATCGGGACTGAACCGGATCACCGCAGTCTCTTAGCAATGCTCCCGACACATCGCTCCCCGGTCTATGTATTCGCCGTGCAGCGGATGCCAGCTCTTCATGTGGTTCTTAAGCGATTTGACCGTCGATAGAGTCTCTCCACAGAGAGTGCACGTGGTCTTTCCCTGGTGCATCTTCTCGTGTTGGTACAGCGTGCGCCGGTGCACGTAGGTCTTGCCACAAAAGCCGCACGCCAGCGGGTCGGTGCCGGGCGGAACGGGCCGTCCACTGCCGCCTGCAGTCCCGGCTCGGCTGCCACCGCCGCGGCCTGCAACAGACCGATGGGGCGGGCTCAGACCAGACCAGAGCGGAACAGACCGGTCTGCAACAGACCGACAGGGTGGACTCAGACCAGAGCGGACCAGACAGGTCTGCAACAGACCGGTAAAAAGGACTCAGACCAGCCCGGGCGAACAGGCCAGAACAAAAACGGGCCCAGTCTACAAGAGATCGACAAAGCGAGCTCAAACCATCAGACTCAGACCAGACTGACCTGAAACAAATCGGCGGTGTGAACTCAGACCAGACCAGCCTGCAGCAGACTGACAGGCGGGCTCAGACCAAACTAGTGAGGTAAGACCAGACTAGTAGGATCAGATCAGACCGCTTTACAATAGATCGATTGAGCGGGCTCAGATCAGAGCAGCGGGATCAGACTGGATCACCAACGGGTTCCGACCAGACCAGTAGGCAGCGGCTCAGTCCGACAGAACGGACTCAGACCAGACCAGCAACAGGCTCAGATCAAACCTCAGACCAGACCGGTCTGCAACAGACCGAACGAGCGGGCTCAGACCAGTGCAGAGCGCTATAATTAGCACAGCGGGCTCAGATCAGATCAACTCGACCAGGTCGTAGTGCAGCAGATCAACATAGTATACCACCATCAGACTCAGAGCGATATAGTACACTCAGATCAGCGGACTCAGACCCGAGCAGCAAGTAAGAGCGATATCGTAGGTACTCAGACCAGTGGACTCCGTTTGCCGACTATCGAGTGAGAGATCTCAAGACAAGACCGATGAGCGCCGTGTGCCGTGGCAAAAAAAAAACATGATAGGAAGGAGGACTGAAAAAGACTATATTCAATTTACTGCACGAAAGATTCTGCCGGCTTTAGAGGTGACAATGAGAGTGCTGTGTACCGTTGATTCCTTTGAAGTCATACCTAACCATGTCATTGCGGGACAAAATGTCAAAGAAATGACATAAAGAGAGCATGTTGAATGCTTCTCAAGGAGATCCGGTTCTATCAGTCAATTGTTACCTGACAGCGCCTACAAGTCACAAGATCTGTGCGAGGTGCGTCTACCCTATTTTCAATTTATTACCTATGTTCAGGAATTTGACTCCCAGGGCCAGGTTGTCGTTACTGTAACCCCATTCCATTACGCTTCTATTCTGTATTACCAACTGCTCAAAAGCATCGCTCTATTCGTGAGTGGGTTCGTCCATTTTCAGAAAATTCTCTCCGTCTCTCGCCAAGACCATGCTCTCGTGTCACCCAACTTTTTGACTAAGGTCAAGGACGCTATACATCGCTATGAACCTATCAAAGCTATATCGATATACATATAGTTCGGCCTTTCCTCAAGAACTGCTCAGGAGTAATGCAAATCAATCGTGTATTGCTCTGATGACACGCTCATAATAATAGATTACACACAACAGCCTGCTAGTGCTGCACGTACTAACGAGTAACGAACATGCTGGTTGCTGAGACTCTACTGACCAACAAACATTTTCATATGCAACTGCATTTGCATATGTAGATATGCAATTGACAAAATATATGTTAAATTAGAACAAGAACATGTCTACAAATCATAAATGAATACATAGAACGCGGATCTATCGGCCTTTAATTGATAAGATAATGCCCAAGTTATCTTGTTTGGTGGTCGAAAGCAACGGGCTGAATCAGTCATCAGACGAACCCGGTCTTCCTTTCAGACATTTGATGTTAATTTGTGTACGAATTCACTGATCGCTTAAATATAACATTTGCATGTTAGAATAACAACCGGTGTCAAGCCTGGTGCGGCCTGGACCCAGGGATCGACATCAATAAGGACAAGCAGCGTCTTCCCCACATTTCCGTCTCCATCAGCACCGTTTGGTGTTGACACTTAACAAAATACGGAACAGAAAAAAAATAGCTCGACGATAACAAAATGCAATTCTTTGAACGTCACCACGAACCTCTCCTTCATGCACAGCATGGAGGAAGAGCTTCTTAGCTTCTCATGTCTCAACTCACTCATCCTCTCTGTGCTTAGAGAGGACGGGTGCTCTGACCCGAAATTAGCTCTGACATTTGTCGCTGCCATCGGAGAGCACTGCGCACGAGCCCGGCACCTGTCTCTCTGAGGGCGGCCCACCGCCCGCGGCCATCGCCTGTCTCTCGTAGTGCAGCCCATCGCCAGCGGCCATCGCCTGTCTCTCTGAGGGCGGCCCACCGCCAGCGGCCATCGCCTGTCTCTCGGATGACGACCCCTCGCCAGCGGCCGTCATCTCGCCGTCATTCAGCGGGTGCTGGGTCCGCATGTGGTTCCTCAGCGTGATCACAGTCGAGAGGGTCTCCCCGCACACTGTGCAGCGCGTCTTGCCCAGGTGCATCTGGACGTGGTTAAACAGTGACTGCCGGTGCAAGTATGTCTTGCCGCAGTAGCGGCAGGCGACCGGGCGGCGGGAGGCGACTGAAGAAGTCCGGGGAGTGAGCGCTGACAGGACGCCGGGGTCCATCGTCCAGGCCTCCTCAGCCGCGCCTGCAACGGACAGGCACACGGGCTCAGCCCTCAGGGCTCAGCGACAGCCGCGTCGCGCCATAGGCCGGTCTTCAGTGAGCCGGCTCAGAGGGCAGGCAATCCCACAGCTCTGCGAGCTCATTATCGTTTTCTGTTGTATTAATTACGGCCACTTGAGCTTATTTCGTTAGCTTAGTCTTGAGCTGGGCTTCCATGTTAGTTGAGATGGGCATTGGGATCAAGGCTGACCTCTACATGCCTTTTTTGGTCTGCTCATAGCGTTTTTGTTGTCATTTATTGGGGTTTTAAGGCGCACAGACTACAAAGGCAATTTTGTTAGATAGCAGTAACTGGGTCGTAACTCGCAACTGATTCGTTCCGTCACAAAGATCACCAATGTGACTGTCCCAAGGATGAGGGGCAGATCCTCAGATTCTCCTTACCAGGGCTGCGGAGTCGGAGTCGGAGTCGGAGTCAGAGTCGGAGTCGGTCGGAGTCGACAGTTGTGACCGGAGTCGGAGTCGGAGTCGGAGTCGATTTTAGAAACCCGAGCCGGAGTCGGAGTTGGAGTCACCGAAAATCTGTCGACTCCGCAGCCCTGCTAGGTCTGCGGAGTCGGAGTCGGGAGTTGGAGTCGGTCGGAGTCGACAATTCTGCCCGGAGTCGGAGTCGGAGCTGGTTTTTGAAAGCCGGAGTCGGAGTCGGAGTCGGAGTCGCCGAAAATCCATCGACTCCGCAGCCCTGCTCCTTACTGGTTTCGGCTCGGCCACATGACGCATCAGGTAATATTCGTAGGGTTTCTGGCTTGCCTGTGTAACTTTTCAGACATTTGGAATGCGGCTTCGAGGCCCGAAGCCCGTCAAAGTTACCAAGCCCGCACCAGGCGTGCATCTCTAGCCCTCCAGCCTCGTCCGGCGTCTGGGAGTGCCCGCGCAGTGAATTCCCGCCAATCGAGCTCCCCCTCGGGCCCATTCATACCAATAACCGCCTGGCCTTGAGTCCGTCAGCCATCCGCCGCCACCGGTCTCGCTAACTCAATAGTCTGGTCTGGAGCCGGGTTAGTACCGCTCCGTCTCCACCGGGCCGCGGACGAGAGCTCCGCGATGGATCGTCCTGTGCTTCTGCTGGTGATGGCGATGGCGTGTGGACAGACGCCAGTCTCGGCTGCTCTGACGCGCTGCGAGGCTGTCACAGAACCTCTGTGCCAGCATCGCGACATCGGCTACAATCAGACGATCATGCCGAGCCTCCTCAGCCAGCAGACGCAATTGGAGGCTCGCCGCGCCGTGCCCCGATGGCTGCGGGACCTACCGGAGGAATCCCAGTGCGCGCGGGACGCCAGGCAGCTGGTGTGTTACACCCTCTTCCCCGTGTGCACCATACTCGAGACCACCGTGCCGCCGTGCCGAAAGGTGTGTGATAGGGCGCAGGAGAGCTGTGGGGAGCTCATGGAGCGAAACGGCTACCAGTGGCCCGAGGGCCTGCGCTGCGAGACTCTGCCCGTGGAGAGACACGGAACGCTCTGCGTAACTCCTCCTGATACGGTCGACACGGACGGAAGAACGTCGACCGCTCGACCCGACTGGCCGGACAGGAGAGTGCCAGTCATTCCTACCCCGCGGTGGTCCGAATCCACTGTGGAACCACGGACGACCACCGCGAGACCGTCCACGTCCACTGCCGGGCCCACCGGGCCCCTCAGCCACCTCTGGAGACTGTGGTCGGCCCTGGCGTCACCCTCCGACCCGTCCGGCCCCCGCCCCAGCCCGTCCAGCAACGCAGCTGAGGTCGAAAGTGCTCTGGGCCCTATCCGCGACATGCTGGAACGTCTCCAACGCATCGCACAGCTCCAGGAGGAGAACATGCGGCTCCAGCAGGAGAAGCTGAGGTTGGAGATCCAGCTGCTGCAGAGGAAGTTTCCGCGGGAACAGTGAACATCTTGTCCTCATGGCTGTTCCCACGAACGATAACAACTGATGTGATTTTGATTTAAGCTTCCTAAGTGCTTTGTTCAGCAATCAGCAGCCTTCAGAAAAACTGACAATTTACCTCAGCTGTAGCTAAGATATAGGATGCGATTCTCTCGTCACGTCTATTTTATGCCGACATTTTTTTTTGTGAATAAAAAAAAAACAGCAAGAGATAAAGTGATCACCAATAAGTTGCGCTCCACTTCGAGCGGTCTTATCCAATTTACAAAATCCTTCCCGCTCTGAGAAGATCTTATTGGACTGAAAGGGTCTAACCCTGCACAAATATGTATAAACGGTTACATTCAAGTTAAGATTCAACCCAAGTCAAACCCGATCGTCAGTAACACCCAATCCCGGAGCACGAGCGTGGGTAATCAAGGAGGCGGATGGTTTATCTTAACCCTCGCACGACCAGGCCATTTCTCATAACACGAACGACCAGGGGGGGGGGGGTTGTTACGACCCCCCCCCCTGGCGTTTCGAAACGGAAGGTCGTAGAGCTTAGCGGAAAAAACCAACGGATTGCTCTCAACGAGATCTCGCGATTGGTGGTATATTTTTTGGTCCTAGGTCAACATTTGACCTACTTATGACCGGTCAAAGATCAAATTTTCCGAAAAATCAAACTTTTTCAACTTTGCGCAACGATTGCGGCAAAACGGTGGGAGATATCGACTTGAAACCTTCACTATCGTGTTCCTTGATCAATTCTCTATCGTTTGGTATGTATTTCGTTTCCCTAGCTCTAAAAATGGCGCGTTGGGAGCGCCGGAAGTCGGCAAGGTCACAGTCGGCGGCAGAAATTCGAAAAATCAAAAATTTAAATTTTTGAAATCCGATTGTATTTTTGGATTTGGGAGGTCCATTTGCTCCCTATAGAAGCTAATATTGCTGCATATTCCCATTGAGGTGACAAGAATTAGCAAAATAGTGGTTCGGGCGCTTTTCAAAAATAGTACCGGACGCTGTTCCTCTTGTGACGTCATAGCTCCGTGACCTGACCTGACCCGGTCAATTTTCGTGCACCACACGATAGCCAATGCTTGCCCCAACATGCATGGGAAGTTTCATCATGATCCATCAAACAATGTGGGTATCACCGGCAGAAAACCTAGGGATTCGGCGCACACGTTTGGTAACTGTCGGCCGGAGGCTGTACCTCTTATGACGTCATAACTCCGTGACCTGACATGACCCGATCAATTTTTTTCGGCAAAAGATGCGCAAAGGTTGCCCCAGAGGGTATTGAAAATTTCAGCCCGCTACGACAAGCCGTTTAGCGTGCACTTCGAAAAAACCTCAGGGGGGGAGGCGTTCTAGGGTTAAGGATTGACTATATGGTGAATTGTGATTTTAGCTGTAAATAAAGTTCAGCAATAGCTACGGAAATGAAGTATTCACCGGACACTCAATATTACTAAATCCATCATCGATTTACATTTTCAGTGTCGCCGATCTCGGGATGCCGATCTCAATGGAAATGGATTTGTTGATCCACGCTAACTTCCATTCAATCAGCATTTGCCGGTAGGTAAAACGCCGGTCCATCAGAACAACAAACCGTGGTTGAAACTAGGGCTAACAGTTCTGAAAGTTAAACAACACACATTCTTATCAAATCCCTGTGTGCTTTGCGGATATCGTAAACATAGCCGCCATCATGATCTGCACCAGGGCTGCGGAATCGATGGATTTTAGGATGACTCCGATTCCAACTCCGGACGGTCCTATTAAAATCCATATCATGATATTGAAGATCATAATGGAGATGTTTTTATCTTACCTGAAACGATCCCTTGTGCGTTCCAAGTCTTTGCGTTGCAAATATGCATTAAAAATAACATAGGTACAGAATTAAAAAGACGGTTCTGGGGAATTCACCGTCTTCTGCTTCTTTCGTTGAAAACGTTCGTCCAAAACAGAAAAATGGTCTTTTTTCGACAAAATCTAATTTCGAGCGCAGTATCGTCAAACAGGTGGAGTGCATGATGTTGAGCCATGCAGCGTTAACTCCGACTCCGGAGTCGGAGTCGGTAAGATTTTGGCGACTCCGACTCCAGAAGAACTGTCGACTCCGACCGACTCCAACTCCGACTCCGCATCCCTGATCTGCACTTATGTGGACAGCAATGGGCATCCTCCCATTTGGCGGGTCTTGATGCTTCAGGTCCACGCCTTTGAACGGGGTCGGCGTGCTTGCAACACAGCAACGGCCCATGTCGCTATAACGCACGCGTGATAATACGACTGATGGTAGTCGTGTTATCTTCAGCACAGCTCGGCGACGCGTCACCAGCACCGCTGTCCGATACTTCCTACCTCGTGTATGACCTCGTGACCCAGACGGCACAGGCGGAACCAGAGACTGCCCGTGGTATCCATTCGCATAGCTAGTTCACCGCGACAAAAACTGGTAGATCTTGAGGGAGCACATGCCAGTGCCACTGTCCATATTGTTCACGGCGAAAAACAAGCTCGTCCAGCGGCATCGTCGGGACATTTGGAAGCGTGGCTCCGAGGGTTTTTGAGATCGCGACTCAACGGATATTTGTGGTCGTGGATCGTTTTCAACAACAAAGAGATGGTAAATGGTTCCGCAGTCAATCCCACAAATCCCGCAAATCCCAAAGAATTGTAAATTTTACAGAAAATAAAAAACCTCCACCCTAAACAATCATTCGATGACGAGCCAAAATATGAAGAACGGCGAACGAGCACACCACCAGTAATGCAAATGGCAGTTCGCACGCCACGGTATGGCCAGTATATTTATCCCCTTTCAGCTTGCCTGGTATCGTCCAGGAGAAATTAACGACCCGTCATAATGAATAGGTAGCTGGCAACTGATTTGGTGTCCGGTGTTGTGCTGTTTATCGTGTTGTATGCCAGAGGAGTGAGTGAATTGTGATGCAGACCAAACGTCAAATGAACGAATGCTTACTGAACGTCGCATTTGTGTTTTATTTTTGAAAAGAATAAACAGTAGAAAGAAGGAAAGTAAACTAAATAAAACTTACCTAAAGATCCATCATCGCCATAATACGTTCCACTTTGCGATCCTGAAAAAAGCAAAACGAACGTTACAAATGCCGAAACGCAAGAAACGTTCGAAAAAGACGCAAACAATCATAGACGGGTCTAAGTTCTAACAGACACAGAACCCGAACAATTACACTCAAACAGCACTTTTGGTACATTTTAACGCTTTTGTTCCTGCAGGGCAAGAGTTTGATTTGTCAATTCTGGACATACGAATACACAGTTATTCCCTTCCGGAGTCCGGAAGGGAATCGCACACCCTGCGCGAGCTGGGTCCGGAATCCGGACCCAGCTCGCGCCTGTCTTTACCCACACAGCTGGGCACTGGCCCCCTTCTTTACCCACCTAGTGCGTCCTCGGGGCCGCCATCGAACGAATGGTGGGACACTTCAAAGTCCATCGTCCCTGAGTAGTCGTTGTTTGCTTCCAGGGCCGATCCTGCACCAGAGCCGTCTTCGGGCGCTGCTGACTCTCTCTTCACCGCCACGCTGTGGTGACCGGCCGGGCTGGCGCTGGGGACGGCTGCCGGCGGCGGCTGTGTGTGTACCAACCACTCGGTGGTGACCACTCGGCCGTGATCGCCGGCCGGCGGCGGCATCACGCGGCCGCCCGCTGCCGGCTCTACCCGTACACGTTTACCGGCAGACGGGGACGCCAGGGGGTCGCCCGTGGACGTGTGACGTTTGGAAGGCGCCGCGCTCGGGCGGGCAGGAGAGGTGAACGCAGCTGTCCGCTCCGTAGTAGATCGCACACCCTGCTGAGCTGATCGGGTGACTTCCTCCTGAAACAGAACATTGATTTAACTACATAAGTCTTAAAAAAACACTATACAATTTCGTTCATAGGTACAATGCTGAGGTCTGACTAGAGATTTATCACAAAACATGAAAAGTTAAACTATTTTCCTATGAGAAAAAGACACTATATCTGGTTAAATAAAACAAACTCAATGCAGTACTCTGATGAACATTCAAGTAATTAAAACCCAAATGTTGCTTGAAGAAAGGGAAAAAGGCTCGAGTCTGCATCACACTGCCATACCTTATCCTGGTTTGCCAGACCCTTAACTTGCAGCATTTCGGCTGTCTTGAGGAAGCTGGACAGGTTGCTCTGGCCAACATTGACCTCTCCTGTGTATATGAACTCAATGATTGAAGATATATCGAAGTAGGACACATCTTTGAGAAAAAAGACTGGATGCTGACATGGGTTTCCCTGGAAATAATGGAAACAGACATATTAATGAAAAATCACTTATAAAACAATTTGAACAGTATTTTTATTTAATTTCAAACTATCCTTAACTATACCCAGCACTACCTAAGTGATTTTTCCAAAACCCTGCACGAACCTATAATTACAACTTCACATTGCACAAAACCTGGTGTTTCAGGTGAAGCTAAATCTTTAGCAGATTAAATAATAAAGTAAATACTGAAATAAAATTGCAAACTGAAGGTCTTTGTCTAACTGACAACTCTCACCTTTAGCACCTCTTTGAAGTAGGGGCTGCATGCTGAAAGCATCATTCTGTGTGCTTTTATTTGTCTTCCTTCACAACAAAGGGTCACATCAACAAAGTCTTCATCATTTCGCAAACTGTAAAGTGCTGAGGTTACAATTCCTTTGAAATCATTCCACTGAAGGCAAAACTTCTGTGTTGCTGCATCCATCTTCATATTTTTTTTCTCAAACTGAAAGCAGACACAAGAAAACATAGCCATAAACTGACAAAATGAAAATGACATGACATAGCTTATTGTTATATAATGCCAGGTATTTCAATTTCATTTTTTATTTTTGAATAAACATTCAACATTTTTATTGTAACCTGCAAATCCCAATCTGAGTTTTTAAAAATATATAATGAGTTACACAGATGTCTTATAAACACCATTCATATCAGCAATCAATTTAACCTTACCCTGAGAGTGGTCAACAGTCAGCGACACTGCACACGGGTAGGTACTTATAAAATTTCAAGACCCTACATACCCAAAATTCTGAGAGCCCACTTGACCTTCATAGTTATTCCAGTCAAGCTGCTCAGCCTAATTTCAATTACTATTGGTCTGAATAACATGCATGATAGGAGTACCTACCATGGAATGTGAAATCAAAAAATTAACTTGAAAACATACCTAAGTCTGGAGCAACAACGCACCATTATTATTAATCATTATGATGGAACATAACCAATTTGCAAAATCAGCTTAACTCAAACTTGTGCCATGGAAATCAATTGAGTAACAGTAACACCATAGATATAAAGACGAAAAGAAAGTAGAAAGTCTTTATTTCTATGGGTAACACACTCTTTCTATGGGTAACTGACTCTCAGTTGGGCAAACTAGACCTTTGGAATCAAAATATGGAGGCATCAAAAGATTGATTCCTTATGACCATATTTGGGCATAAATGCAGACCATTTCTAACTTACCAATCACATAAAAATAAGAGAGTGTTTCAAGAAGAAGCATGCCTGATCTTGAACAGAAATGCTGGAACTATCTCCTAAGCAAAATAATATTGCTCATATCATAACAATTTGAATTCTATAGGTACTGAAAGGCAATCAAGGAATTGATTCACTTTAAACAGATAATCATAATATTGATTCCCCATCAGCTGGCTAATCAATATTTTGATTCACAGGTAATGTTGGACACGCCTAAGAGCTGGACTTTTTGATGACGTCTTCAGGTGACGTCATGTCGTGTGTGACGTTTCGTGAGCAGGTAAGGAAAAGTCACCACCGCTGGCGAACATTGGTGCGGTAAATGGCAAACACAAATGCTGCGCAGAAAAGACAAATGTGTAACTTCACAACATTCGTTCGGACGACAATGTTGATGTCAAGGCGAATCAAGAAGTTCTTCATGCGATTGTTAGTTATCTGTCGTGCTATTTTAGTATGATTGTTATTAGCAGTTGTTTTGTGAAATGTATTATCAAAATCAATGTTTATTGAACGCAGATTCAGTTTATTTTCAGATGTACCTAGGTACCCTTACACTTCACTCATCTCAAGCTGTTCAAACACCCTTGACAAAGTCGATTAAGATGAAACGTTGGGTATAATTTATACTGTGTTTTCTCTGCATTATTAACATATTCATCATATATACAATATAAGGGCCACATGCTTTTTACAGGGAGACATGTCAGACAGCCCAGTAGGATGAGGCTTCGTCAAGCGTCATTTTTAGCAACGCTTTTCTTGCTTAAAATCCAGTCTGCAAAACATGGCAGGGCTTACACTTTGGCTTACACTTGACTCCCAGCTGTTGTGTCTTTGCTATGCGATGTTAAACATATAAAACATCTTACTATTCATGTATGCGCCATGACTCATGTAATCTTTTCACAGCCAAGACGCTCCTAAGGTACTGGGAATGTGGGGAGTGCAGCAGCATCAGTGCAGCACCGATGGTCGGATGCGACGGCTGCGATAAATGGTACCACTTCCGTTGTGCGGGACTGACTAAGGAGCCAGGTAAGCGCAAATGTTTTCTGTCTCAGTATTTTTGTTGCAGCTATAGTGATCAATGAAATATTTTCCGCATTGTTCAGCCAAACATGTATTTCAAACAATCTGCTTCCCAACTGAGGGCGTCGCCACAGGGGGGGGGGGGGACGGAGGGGATCTCGTCCCCTCCACTTTTTAAAATTTTAACATTTCGCCTATGGCGTTGCATGGAAAGAATCGACTTGAAATGGTCCTCGTCCCCTCCAAAATGGTCAATGTCCCCTCCAGTTGTCGCACCGTGGCGTCGCCCCTGTTCCCAACTACACAAATTTAGTCAAACAATGTGCCAATATGGAATTTTCAGGTTCAGTTGAATGAAATAGGAACAATGATAATTGTAGATTACGTATACCTGCAAGAGAGGAAAACAGAATACATTGTATTGCTTGTCCTTCACCGATACTGTTATTTTTCCATTTCTAGAAACACCGACATGGCGATGCAGGTGGCGCTGCCTGGTGAGGCCGCGGTCTCCGGAATCGCCTGCAGACGAAGTCACCTGGCGTCCATCTGCACATCACTTGCAGCAGTGAGGCCTGCTGACAGCGTCTGGCAGTGTCGGCAACGTGCCAGACAGCTATCTGGAGTCCTGCTCACCGCAGGTCGCCGACAGGAGGGGCGACGCATCGTCTCCGAGGTCGCCTCAGCAGCAGTGAGACCCCACTGGCCGTCTTCTTAGGCTTCAACTAGATTGCGAACAACCTATGCTGAGACAACGCCCATGACGTGTGATCCGGTACCGCTACCGCACTGCGTGCCTGTGCCCGCCGTGAGCCGGCTAGTGCATGGGTTCGACCATGAGAATATGTGTTTATGTTGCTTTTACTATTGTTTATACGTTGAAGTGACGAATTGTTTATTTTTCGCAAGCCTCCGCTGTCCGGTTGCCTGCAGCTCCATGCAACGCCAGCTGTACTGTTGTTTTAATGTTGTCTCTCCGCTCAGCTGTGCTGTTGCCTCTCCGCTCATAACAACCTATGCTGAGACAACGCCCATGACGTGTGATCCGGTACCGCTACCGCACTGCGCGCCTGTGCCCGCCGTGAGCCGCTAGTGCATGGGTTCGACCATGAGAATATGTGTTTATGTTGCTTTTACTATTGTTTATACGTTGAAGTGACAAATTGTTTATTTTTCGCAAGCTTCCGCTGTCCGGTTGCCTGCAGCTCCATGCAACGCCAGCTGTACTGTTGTTTTAATGTTGTCTCTCCGCTCAGCTGTACTGTTGCCTCTCCGCTCATATATGACACCCTCTACATGAATGGCACCACTGATTGTCACACCTACTGTCCGTATTGTCCGTAGTGGTGTCTGAGCAGTAATCGCCACGCACTTTCAGAATGTGGATCGCTCATGATTGTTCAATACAATACAATACAATACGCCCATGTTCATACAGCGTGCAGAATCCAGATTCTATTGAGGAGAGTTGAGCCAAGTCACCATAGGCTCGGAAAGAGAGCAACGTGGAGGCCCACTGCCCCTTCCCCGGCCCCCACTGGGGGCGCCAGCCACTCCAACTTTTGACTGGATGTCAAGAGCGTCGCCACGAGGGGAACGAGTCGCCGGCCAGCCAAGGTAGCCAACGGCGTGTGAAGGTTGCCTGACCTCGAGGAAACTGAGATGGCACCAACGGAGGTTTTGTTAAGTAGGCGACCAAAATTCGACCAGCAGCAGCCTGGGCACCTTCACAGATAGCAGTGCCGCGTATCAGGGCGCCTTCGACGTTGAGCTGGGCGCCGATCATCAGGACGCCGGGGGAATATGACCCTCGTAAATATGTGCCTCGGAAGGGAGACCTAACCATAAAACTGAAAGCTCGCCGTATTTTGTCCACTATTTTTCGAGCAGGTCCATAGATTTCCGTCCTCAAAAGTGCGGGGATATTCCCCAGTGTTTGAGTTGGATGGGACTATAGTAGCGTTTACACCGACAGGAGATTCCCATTGCCGGCTGTGGGAAACTACTGTCGGTGTAAACGCCATTCATATTTCCTGCGTCACCCCTGTGGGGACGCCCTTACTCCATGGTGCCGAGCTTATCAATTTGGATATCAATGGAATCAAAATCTCTTATCGATCGATGAAGAACTAAATTACCCCGACCCGGAGAGCGTCTTTGGAATCAAAGCAGTAGCACATGACGCAAGACTTCAGGCAAATAAATCCTTCTTGTCTGAAATAAAACATTTGTGTATTGATAAGCACGTTTTATAAGCAATGGTAGCAAGATTCTCCATGTATTTAGTTTAAGTGATAGTTTAGTAGCAGATACTTACCGTCGCATTTCGTTTTTTTATTTAATAATTTGTATTGTCAGAACTAGCAACATGTCTCTTCACTCAACAATAATTACAAAAGTGAAAAGGAGATGATAAATTGCTTATATTTTGGTGAAACTAAAAATTAATTCAGCACACATTTTTTTTACAGCGTTGAAGTCCAGCTCCAAAGGACAGCTGACGATCGTTGCCGAGTAGGCTGTTTGGTACTTGTTCACTATTTCTTAGAAGTACCCGTTAGTACCGATCATGTCTCACATAATAAGCTATTGGAACAAAAATATGCATCTTCTTCTAATTATTCTCCTTCCACACTTTTAATAAATACTTTTGAAATGCATTTACTAATTTATTTCACAAAAACGGCTTGAAATTTTACAACGTCAAAATACTTTTCCAATTTCCACCATGAAACCACCACTATATTACTTGCTTACAGAACCGTGCGCACAGTGCGCGCAGTTTTATCGTGACGTCAGAGGGTGCTTCCTCAGTGGCGCCCTCTGGCGGGGAACGCGTGCAAAAAGTCCAGCTCTTAGGCATGTCCGTAATGTTAAGAGATAGGCAACAATGACTTGCAGGAATACATCATTTATCTTGCTACTATTCTCATTTAGTGGTGTCCTCAGCACCACAACAGATACCTATAGCACTGTTGTAGTTAACCTTCACTACATTTGATAACAATTCACAATTTTTAAATGTCAAGAATACAAAAACTGAAGCAACAGGTAAAAACCATATAATAAATATAAAAGCACTACAACAATGATTATAAAGGGTTTGAAAAATTCATTTTGCTATATTACACAAATACTGATTGTTAAGTATGCGATACATGATACAAAAATAACATACAGTGTGATTTCCTCAAAACAGCTTTTACGTGATGGACAGTGGCTCTGTCTTTCTCTCATTCACAAGGCCAAAAGGACAATTTCTTAGTTTTGAGGTAACACTTTTTGGAAAGCTACCACATTTTTCTACCTTTTTTAAGAAAAAACTCACCGTCATGGGCCTTTTTTCAACCGTAACGATACATTTGAAGTCAAAAGTGTACCAAAATGAATCAAAAAATTGATTCCATGCCCATATTTGGTCATAGCTCCTCCCACCAGAATCAAATTATTGATGCCTCCATATTTTGATTCCAAAAGTCTAGTTTGCCCAACTGCTCTGGTCAGATCGGAGCAATCAGTAAGCCCTCAACAAATGTTTGACAAGAGTAGTCACTGATCTTAAATCACCCCAAATTCACCAAACTATCTATAATCCTTCACCTAACTACACCTGATACAAAACCATGGATTAGGTACCTATTCCATCACAATCATGGAGTGCCATGGGGTTTCAGTTCAGGGGATTCAGCAAGAACGACGAAGCAAAACCTTGGCAAAAACCAACGCCGTTTAGGCAAAAAATCTTAGTAGTGGACAGTGGTGTGGTACCTTTGGCCACTATTGGCGTAATCGTAATGCAGCGTAATTCGTAAATTGCAGTAAATTGGCAGCTAACTGCACTGCTGCTGCAGGGAGTTGCTGCAGAGACTGCGTCGCTTTTGTAAGTCGTGCGCCACTGTTTTTGTTTTGTTCTTGTGCATGCTTTTGTTTTTTAAAATAATTGACGTCAGAATTTAATTTATATCACCTTTTTAGATATTCTTTTCTTAGTTTTTCAGATAAATTAAATCAATGTGCAAAAAACGGAATGTTTCTAAATATTGAAGATTTCAAAGAGAAAAATGAGTACAACTATCATTCACATTTGTATGACGTCATTTTACTTTAAAAGGTTTGGATACATCAGCCGCTGCTTTGGGTCATCCTTGCATAGCATTCGCCATCTTTTCTTTTGTCTGTTGTAAGAGATTTTGGAAGTAAAGGGGAGGTCTTGGCAAGTTGATCATTAAGGTTTATTTACTTTCAAAACTATCATCCCTCAAGCCAAGTTGCCATGGCCTCGGACACTCAGCCACAGCCAACTGAAGTTCAGGGTGTAATTACGCCTGCTCTTCAGGTGCCGGTAACTCAAAATGGGAAAGGAGGTCTGGAAAAACTGGAAAGGTAAGTACAATGGTTTGAGTTTGTTAATTTATTTTGCTGTCATGCTTAATGTGTGATCCTAACATTAACTCACATGTGTGCTTATATGCAGACATTTCAAGAAGAGTAGTCAGCAAGATCGTAGGCGGGGACTAGATTGGAAAATACACTATGCCGAATATGTCCGGTTTAGTGGCGGAATTGTGCCAAAAATTTTGGTGCACGTCAGCGGCAGCTGCTGAATTTCTTGGCTAAATGCAGTCACTAAATGTTTTGCAACGCTGGTCAATTTAGCAGCAGATTTGGCATTTGATCTGCGGGTTGTTCTGGGAAGGGTTTAGGACAAGACTTCCCCTGCCACAGTCACCTCAGGCACCGACTCGCGAGCCTCCTGACCTCCACCTTTTTGCGGAGAAATGGAAGACCTTGCTGAACATTGCTGAGCCCCGTTAAGTGATCCTGCAGTGGGTTCCTGCCCACTGGGACTGAGGGAAGGGGCGTGAGGATAAATAAAAACCTGGCAAAATAAGTGGGTTCAGCGCCCTTGGACGCCCACTTGCTGATCTGAGTGTTTCATGTGTGGCCTCGCGTCAGTGGGGCGAGTGCTGTCTCAAGTCACTATTCAAGCTTCATAAGTACACTGCCACTTCAAGAGTACACTGCTGCTTTCCATCCCCGGAGAGGACTGAGAGGCCGCCGTTTCGGTGCACCAGATGAGGGCTAAAATCCGCCAGAACTCCAACCTGCCTTTAGTTCTGGATGCAGGGCTCCGCCCAGTCCAAACCCAACATCAAAACGTTATCATTTTTGCCATTTTTATGGCAGGTCATTTAATCGTATTGTATTTGTATGCCAATCACGTTTTTTTGTCATGGTTAACCGTACGTGAACTGGCTCAGGGCGAGATTGCGACTGACTGACTGGATCGATTTACCCCAGGTCTAGGAGGTCAACTTGGGACTCAGAGGTCACTGTAAGTGTAGTCACTAGTCAGGCAACTTAATCCTGAAATATAATTATAATTCTATATTCGAGATTCGTCTCTGGAGCCTACGTCTTTTTACTGACGTTCGCCGTTTTCCGGTCTTTGCAGTATCCTGGCTTCCTCCGCCTACCTGGAGATGATGGAAAGCTGTAAGAACTTCAACAAGCGTCTGCTGGTGGAGCGAAAGGGCCGCGTGCCATTCATCGACGCGCATACTGGTGGGTCATTGTCACATGACGTGCTTGTTTTAACACTCGAGACAACAATACCTAATTTGTGTGAATTTGGCAGACTTGATGTTTCTTCGACACCAACCGGCCGAAGACCCTTGCATCTAAATAGCAGCTCAAAGTTACACTACTTGTGATGCAACTGCCCCAACCACCCGTCACGCTGTCTGGGGCAATGACTGTCCCATCTCAGGTACATCAATGGGTCTGACTGCTCCCTGTCCCTCCCCCATCCCGTCTCCGCTGCGTCATTTTCGCTCATGTATTACAAAAATACAACAAATACATGCGGTTACAGCAACTACCGCAACGTAGAAAAATAGATACAGCATCGCAGTCGATTTACTAGGGCCTGCTTGATCGGACGCGAAATGCTGGCTCCCCAACCGATCACAGCACTTCGCTGTGTCATTAGGCCTAGTTATTCCCTGCGCCCCCCCCCGTTCCTGGCGCGGCGACCGGTCGGATCCCCCCCCCATCCATCCCTCTCTAGCCCGTTACACTGACTATCCCCGCCCCACCGGTCCGTAAACATGTCTGAGTATCTCCTCTGCGGTCTGCTAACAGGGCTGGCGCAGACCGACTGCCGGCTGTGGATGGAGCAGCGACAGCGGATGCCTGGCGTCAAACCGGGCCAGGTGTACACCTACCCGGCCAAACGCTGGGTCAAACGCCGCCGACAGTACCTCAACTTCTTCATGCAGCCCAAGAAGTTCGCCCTGGAGGAGTGCGAGCTGTCGATCGCGTCCGTCCAGAACCCCACCTTCACGGAGGATAGCGTCAACAGCGTGAACGAGGGGTCCAAGGTGAGACTCGCTGTCACTGTTGGGAACTTTCAGTGTGATTTGAAGTGCGGTTTGACTATGTGTTGTGGCTCATAAATAGAAGCTACTCCATGAAAAGGAGTTATTGAATATCGCTAAAATTATTCGTGTGCTATCTGTCTTTATTTCGTCACTTAGCACAAAGGTTCGATCTTTTATGTTGCCGGTATTCACCAGGATAAGCGAGGGGACGCAAGCGTGCGATATTACCTTTGGATGTTGAACATATTCTTCAGCGTATGGTATGTACGAAAGTGTGACGGAATTCAACACGTTATTTGGTCTACCCAGGATGCCTGGTTCTATGAGGATGCTGAGATGGACCGTGATGACTTCGAGGAGAATTCGGACAACTCCGACTTTGATTTCGACGATCGGTATAGGAAAAAGAAGAAGTCGGCGACTGGATCTAAACGCAGCTCGGTATGGACACATTTACGCTTTAGAAACACTTGTGGCTTACAAAGTGGTTTTATGAGTTAGTAGATGCTTGACATCAAAGTGCCATGATAAATTATGTTTTTCTTAAACATCGTTAATGTTGTCTTTCTCTTGATTATGGCTCATTATTCCAGCGCTGTTACGTAAGTTTTGTCTGCAGTATTTGATTATCCGCGTTATGTTTTGTTACTGTGTACAACAAGAGTTTGAGTTCTGTCCAGGCCGTTCACCTGGCTGTTATTAGCCTGAGAGGCGTCCTGTTCACCCGATCCCGTATTCCCCTGACTGACCTGGTGCCGGTGGCCGCCACTCAGGGTCGCGGCAGCAGCAGTCGCCGGCGCACCGCCGATCCAGAGGATGACTCCAAGAAGCCGTGGGCCTGCGAGCGTGAGTACCCCGCCCGTGTGCCCCTCCCCTCCCCGCCGGGACTGTCCCCGCCGCTCTACTAACCAGGCACGGCACCGCCCTCCCCTCCCCCAGCCGGGCCGCTGTCACGCTGTCTGTTAGCCGCGCGTGTGCCGCTGCCGCCGCCTCCGCCGACAGCGCCGTCTGGCACCGCTCTCACGCCGCCGCGCAGGCCTCGCTGTCTCTCCTCCTCTCACGTGCGAGCACTAACGCCTGACAGCTGCGGGCGCTGCGCGCCGCGCCGTGCCGCTCTGGGCCGCTTGGGTCCCCGGCGGGGCTGAGCTGGTAGCTGTGTCCACCGCCGGAGTGGGGCCTCGCTGTACACTCGCTGTCCGCCCGCCCCCCGCCCCCCGTCCCGTCCCCTGACAGCCTCTCCGCGGCGGCCGGGTGAGTACTGGTGGCGCCGCCGACGGCCGTTCTGTGAAGCTGAGCCTGCCGCCGCGGCCGCGCGTGTGTGTTTCAGTCTGCTCGGCCCGCTATAAGACGAGGCCCGGCCTCACCTACCACTATGCGCACTCGCACAAGGAGGAGCGTCGCCGTGAGCAGCGCGCCGCGGAGCCCGGCTACGAGCCGCCGCCGCCGGCGCCGGACCACGAGGGCACCGCCGCCGCCGCCGCGGACGACACGGACGAGTCGACGGCAGCTCCAGGTTGGCTGCACGCGCCCTCCGCCCGCCCGAATACCCGCCCGCTCCGCTGCCGCTTCCGCTTCTCGCTTCGCCGCTGGCTGCGCTTCGCTTGGCTTGGCTTGACCGCAGGGCGTCGTCGTGGGCTGCGCGCCCCGCCCGTCTCTTTCAGCTCTGAGGCCGGGCGAGAAGGCCGTCGGCTAGTTGGCGCGGATGCGGCCAGGCGCGTCTGGTGCGGCGCTAGGACCAGACGCGGGAGGTTCGCATGTCAGTAGCTCATAGAGGCGCGACACAACGCGGTCCGGGGGCGGCACTAGGCTCGCCATAACCAGCTAGTCTCTCCCCGTCTCAGAAGTGCCCGTAGTGACCAGGCACGCGGTAGTGTTGCAGGATATTATGCATCATGTGATGATGCGCAAATACTGTGGTAATTTCGATCCGGATTATCTCGATGATTTGCGGTTAAAAGTCACGTTGTGTTTTTGAGATTGCTGACCCGATGCGTACTCTGCTTACTGTGTCTTTTCATGTCTCTCAGAAAAGCCGCGAGGAAAGGAGAAAGCAGGCAAGGATCAACTGATATTTTTAGCGTCACATTTTGCACACTCATCGGTTGTGGGTCGTTGCAATCACGTGAACATTTGTGGGTTTACTTTTTTTCGCTTCATTACCGTTTACAGCTGATGTGAGGTTACCGGTGTTCCAGCGGGCGCTGCTACCCTCGTCAATGGTCATCTGACCGGCGTGTCCTGTATCGGCAGGCTCCCGCGGCGGCCGAACGTCCCGCCAGGCGGCCGCTGCTGCCAGCGCCGCGCTCGCTGCCCAGGCCGACATGGACAAACTGGCCAAGGCGGCGCCTCCTGCGGCGGCGGCCCAGGTGCCCGCTGCGCCGGCCAAGGCAGCCCAGCCGCCGGTTGAGGTGAGGGCCGGGCCGCCGGCTCGCGCACGGCGGTAGAGTGACGGGCACTGTGACGGGCTGTGACGGGTCGTGGCAGGTGTTTGAGACGGGTGTGTCGGGTGTGTGTCCGTGTCCGGTGTGGGTACGCACCGCGGCGCCCCGTAGGCTCGGGTGGCATGTTGGCGCCCCGGCGCCGGCTGTTGGAGCCTCCAGTACCGGTGTGGCGTCTCTTGCAGAAGCCGGAGCGGGCGCCGCCGTCGGCGGCGGCCGCCGAGCCAGCGCCGGAGATAGCTGTAAGTGTTACCGCACCGCTAGTGTCGCCTCTGCCGGGACGCCCGCTCGCGAGGTGGTGGCAGGCTGAATGCATGAGCGTTGTAACGGCAGGCTGTTGGCTGCGGCAGTGTAGTGCGGAGCTGAATCGCTCCGCTGTGGCGCCGCTGGGTGGTGGGACGATCAGGAAGGGAGGAGGGGCTGGAAGGGTTGCTGACGCCAGCCGAGGGTGGCCGTGGTGTGGTGTGCAGCTGTCGTTGGGACGCTGACCGGTCCCAAGTCCCTACATCTGCCAGCGCCAACACCGCCTCGCCGAAAGAGCTGCGGGTTCGTGGGCTACCACCGTCTGCGGCAGGGGCTGCTGATGTGGAGAGCGGGCGCGACACAGAGCTGCTGCCACACAGGTCACACATTACCTCAGGGGCGGTCAGGGTCATCAAACTCCCCATCAGATGCCCTCCGCCGCATGTCGATAACTCGTTTAACAGCTGCCGGCTTGTCGCCCTGACGCAGCGCCGGCTGTGAGACCCGCGACGCATGCACGCCCGGCCCCAGCAAGATGTAATGCAGCATGGCGCGCAGAATTACAGGGAGCTGATCGGCAGAAGGTGCCGCCCTGGCAGCGGAGCTGACTCGAGTTGACGCCAACTGCTGCTTTAAGACATATGGTGACACTCTAAACTTCGACCAGGCCGCAGTCGCTTGTTTCAGATTTGTACCTATGCTCCGTGTGTCGACTATTAACACACTTATCCGCAGTTATCCGCCAAACAGGTGCGATGAATGCAGGTCGCTTCTTCAGCTGCCAAGCCTTTCCCCTATTGGTGTGGTTTGATTGTTGTCTGCCGTTGGATGGTTGGTGTTTGCCGTATATGCGCTTCGCCTCTCGTATTCCGTCAGTCACTAGTGCCTCGGTATGAACCCTTTGTAGCTTTTGCCGATGATGAGTTGTGCCAACTGCAAGTGCTACACACAAAGGCTGCCAATGCTAAGATTAATTCGGTTCAAACACACTTCCCTGATTCCATTCATGGCTGACTCATCGGTCATACCCCGCTGATCAGGTCATTGCTTGTGCGTTGCTGCCTCATCTTTGGAAACATCTGCAAGTGTTCACCGCGGCCCTTCCCGCCTCATTTGCTGATCAATTCGCCACACTTTACATCAACACCTATTATGATCAGAAGCCCAGCTGCCATCCGCAATAACTTCCTTTCTTTCTAGTCTCCTTCTCCAGCCATTCTTTTTTATTCTCCGGACAGTTGCAGGTAAGTGTTTACGGAATTTCGCTACTCTATCCCTCCTTCCCTCCTCTGCTCCTTTACCCAGTGGGTGACCTGACCTGATCTGACCTGACCTGACCTGAACTGACCTGGCCCATCAGGGTGAGAAGAAGCGCACGGCGCCCTCGCTGTACTGCGACTTCTGTCTGGGAGACGCTCAACACAACAAGAAGACGGGCGCGCCCGAGGAGCTCGTCTCGTGCTCCGATTGCGGACGATCAGGTCAGTCCGGTCGGATAGCGAGGGGAGGTGTCCGGACTCGGGATGCAGGGACGGCCGGGCTGGTTGATGGCCTCTGAGATACATGGGCTGGCGAGCGCTCTCCACGGCTGATGTTGTTCAGTTTTGGTGCAGGGGGGCTGTTTGGTGCGTCAGTTGTGTACCTAATGCATACATTTCCGATAGGTGTAGTCGGTTGCGTTTTGATTTCATGAGTCAGATAATAAGAACCAGTATAACGCCTTTTGGGGCGACTAACGGAGCGAGCGAGAGGGTGGGCCTTGCACGTGCGAGATTGCGAGGGGGTACCTCCAACTGACTTGTGCACGGCACCCTACTAACCGGTCTCTAGCGATGTGCCAAATTTGGGCACAATCGGCCCAGCCGTTCTCGAGATCTGGAAGCGGCACCCTGCACGTGCGCACGTGCAAAATGGGTCCCAACTGACTTGTGCACGGCACCCTACTAACCGGTCCCTAACTGTGTACCAAATTTGAGCGCAATCGGTCGAGCCGTTCTCGAGATCTGGAAACGACCCCTGCACGTGCGCACGTGCAGCAGCACCCCAACTTTGGCACATGGATATGCAGTGCCTAATGGGTGCCTACCTACATGCCAACTTTCAGCGCAATCGGTCAAGTAGTTACCGAGATATTGCAACAATTACCAAACTGACACCTCTTCGTTTTGCACGTGGCACGTGCATAAGGGGTCACCCACATGCATCGGGAATAGTCCAATACTTGGTAGAAGGAATGAAGCTACTCTACAAAAATTACCGCATGTAAATCGGTCAAGTGGTTGCTGAGATATAAGCCTCGCAAAAGCGTCCGCACGGCCGGCCGGCCGGCCGGCCGCTCATACTCAGAAATTTCCGTTAATCTAAGGAAAGACTCCGCTCGCTTCGCTCGCTCCGTAACCAGTATAACGCCTTTTGGGGCGACTAACGGAGCGAGCGAGAGGGTGAGCCTTGCACGTGCGAAATTTCGAGGGGGTACCTCCAGCTGACTTGAGCACGGCACCCTACTAATCGGTCTCTAGCGATGTGCCAAATTTGAGCACAATCGGCCCAGCCGTTCTCGAGATCTGGAAGCGGCACCCTGCACGTGCGCACGTGCAAAATGGGTCCCAACTGACTTTTGCACGGCACCCTACTAACCGGTCCCTAACCATGTGCCAAATTTGAGCGCCATCGGTCCAGCCGTTCTCGAGATCTGGAATCGACCCCTGCACGTGCGCACGTGCAGCAGCACCCCAACTCTGGCACATGGATATGCAGTGCCTAGTGGGTGCCTACCTACATGCCAACTTTCAGCGCAATCGGCCAAGTAGTTACCGAGATATTGCAACAATTACAAAAGTGACACCTCTTCGTTTTGCACGTGGCACGTGCATAAGGGGTCACCCACATCCATCGGGAATAGTCCAATACTTGGTAGAAGGAATGAAGCTACCCTACAAAAATTACCGCGTGTAAATCGGTCAAGTGGTTGCTGAGATATAAGCCTCGCAAAAGCGTGACCACGGCCGGCCGCTCATACTCAGAAATTTCCGTTAAAGGTAGACTGCCACCTTTTTTTCACAAAACGGTTTTCACTAGAGCTGAGCCACCTATGTCCCAGACTGAAGTCGGTTTTCCGAAATTCGAACCCGTTTGCGAGAAATCGGAGACCAAAGTTCAGTTTGATGCCATTTTTTTAGTCCAAGAAAACCGACATCTCTACTGTTTATCGATAACTTTGAAACATGAACTTTCTTATCTTTTGGTAAATATATGTCAAAACTTTGATTGTTTCGAGATCAGAGAAGAATTTTGGAGTGTCAAAATAAAAGTTAAACTTATATATTCAGTAGTTCATTTTTTCCAAAGAAGTGTGGGAAATGGGGTTTAACATGGGCCAGACCCATTCCAAATGAGCCATGATTTTTAAATGTTTTACGAACTTAAATGCAAAATAAATTAAAACATGGCCAATTTCTTATGAAATCATATATTAGTAAATCATAAAATACCTTACTTTTTCAAATAAAATGTAATAATCTTATGACCTTGAAGTCTAGTGATGTGTAAACATTGTCGCTAGACATTAACCGATTGATAATTGTATGATAATCGACAATTTTTTTCGCGATTCACGTGATGATACTTTGTCAGGTGAATTCTAAAATTTTGTTTTGTCCAGGGAATAAATCATAGGCCGATCTGAGAAAACTTTTTGAAGGTGGCAGTCTTCCTTTAAAGGGAGATAATGAGCTTTCTTTTTTCTTTAATAAAAATTACTCGACATCTATACTATTTCTACTGTAGTTTCTATAAAGTATGAAAATTTCCTAGCACATTTTCGTATGTGAAAAAGGTTTTTATTTTTGCAAAAAAGAAGCAGTACTTGCAGTACTTGTAACACCCACCGAAATGCGTTTTCCTTCTTGTCCTTCTCTATAAAAAAGTCGCAGTATATGGCGCTTTTGTTTCAAACAGCGACGCTTGGGTTTTTGTTTATGTTATCGCCTTGTCGTTGCTTGGTTGTAAGGATTCTAATTTGAATTAGAGTTAATTCGGTTTAGAATTAATTAGATTCGTACATAGTGCCTACTCTTCTTTGTTTCCAAGTATTATTTTGCGCCACAAATGAACGGCATGCGCCAGAAACGCAGCCAAATCTTGCGATTGCGACTACGAAATTCATTATTTTGGCCTCAGAGCCTGAAGCGAAAAATACAAGCATATTTATTTCAAAAAGACTTCAGGTTTGTCGAACGGTGTTATGAGAATTTTGATAACAGTACTGCATAAGTTTTTCAGTGATGCCGCAAAAGTGTTGTATCTATCTTCTTTTATTGTGCAGTCGGCGGGACCGATTCAAAATTGAGTCGTTGCTACTAAAATAGCAGCATATGGCCTCAGATGATGAACAGGAAAAATAGTTGCGTAAATTTAGACATAAACCACCCCCAAACCATGAATATCTTTTGAAGGCACTATAGACGACCATTAACTAACTAGATGTGATGAAGATCAAATGTAAGGAATACGCTCATTTTACAAAATTACATGCAAGTACCAAAAAGTGATGTAAGTACTTATTCAACGGTCATTTTCAGCGCTCCACGCTAACGTGACTTCAAGTTGAGATATTTGCGGCAAGGTACCGCATTGAGCAAAATGGTTTTAATTTACATTATAACTTGTTGTGTTTTGTCAGAAAATGATCCTAACTCAGATTTTGTGGAAAAAGGTCATTATCTCCCTTTAATCTAAGGAAAGACTACGCTCGCTTCGCTCGCTCCGTAATAAAGATGATCACTGCTTTCCAAGTAAACTATTTTTTACTGTTCCCTTGAATTATTACAGCCTCTAGTTCGTTGGTGGTCAGCGAAGCAAGGAATTGCTGACTGAATTTCATATCAAAACATGAGGTCGTCAGTCTGGCCTGTATCGCAGTTCGCAAATTCGTTTGCTGCTATTACGACCACAGCTATACGAGTATACGGGGAAATGGTCAACGTTCACTCCTGCCTGACCCGACCCTGACCTGAGCTGCCCTGTCCCACCCACAGGTCACCCGACTTGCCTCCAGTTTACCGACAACATGGTGATCTCGGTGAAAAAGTACCGCTGGCAGTGCATCGAGTGCAAGTGCTGCTCACTGTGCGGCACCTCTGATAACGACGTAAGTCATGATCCGCGCCGGCTCGGAGCGGTGTTAGATTATGGCTCATGTGGGATGGGGTGGGACTGTCTTAATTGTCTGCCCCACAGCTGGAGACTGCTGTTAAGTGTTTGGCTGATTAGTTCCAGTACGATAATTGACGCCTAAATTTTGTTGTTTTGCGTATAGCTCAAGCGATTTTGTGTTTTATCTCTTGCTCTTCTTCGTAGTGCTTCCACTATTGTATTGTATTGTATTGTATTCCATTCTATTGTATTCCACTGTATTCACCGAACCGCATTCTGTATCCATAAGCTAACAACTAGGTGGTGAATATCCACTGCAGTGCTGGATCCCCTGCCAAATACAGTACGATAGATTAATTCACCTGTTTAACCAACCTGTTTGCGTTTATTCGATGACAGCGGATGTCCCTTTCTTCCCTCATCTTGTCACTTCCTCACCACCCGCCGTTCTCCCCCCTGCAGGACCAGCTGCTGTTCTGCGACGACTGTGACCGCGGCTACCACATGTACTGTCTGTCACCGCCGCTGACGGAGCCGCCGGAGGGCTCCTGGAGCTGCCACCTGTGTGTGCGCGAGTTCCACGCGGGTGTCCAGCCGGCGTCCGTGCCCCAGCCGGCCCAGTGAGCGGGGTCAGTACCGGCGGTGGTGGGGAAGCCGGCGGTTACAGTGGCGCGGACACGGCAGACGGCCGGCGCAGAGGTGGAAAAGACAGTGGGAGGAAGAGGACAGAGACGGATGCGATGGGAGGGGAGGTCAGAGGCGGATTCGATGGGAGGGGAGAGGACAGCAAAGGAGTGGAAAAAGAGAGGGACGAGTGGAGGAGGAAAGGAACAGAGAAGAAACAGGAGATAATGTGTGGGGAATGCAAGAATACAGCACCAAGCAGCAGCTGTTGGCAGGTCGTTAGCCAGCGGACTATTCTGTTGACTGCATGGCCAGTCTGCAACACTGGCTGGTCAGACCAGTCGGTCATTGATCAGTCAGTCAACAGTGGTGACTGAATGGACTCGTAGCCTCAGCAGCATTAACCTCAGCAGTCTCATCCTCAGTCGTACCAGGCACTTCTCATGCCATGGAAACGGCCTGCGGTGCTCGCAGCTGGCTGTTGCCAATCTAAGCTTGCCAGATGCAAAGAGCTCAGCCGTTTTTTAGTCTGACCAGTCGTCATGCTTCAAGTCTAGACAGTGCTACCCTGTGAGAAAACAGATGGATCTGCTGTTGTATCATGCCGTTGATCGGAAATTGAGCTTTGTATTGAAAGCTGTCCCGTGGTCGAGTGCGCCGTTCCATTTTACATCAATTTGTTTTCAGTTACTGCTTGTGTTTTGCCGCGGTTCTGTTCATTTGCGAGTGAGCTCTCAGTCTCTGGGATGTGTATGGGTGCTGTATGATTTCCTTGCCGAATTGGAAAATGACAGGCCAGGCTAGGTGAAAACTGAAAATCGACTAGCATCAGCTAAGCTAAGTCGAGCTGAGTTCCGTAGGTGTGGGCGGCCTTGTTGCGCTGGTCCAGGAGCTGACCATTTCCAATTACCATCGAAGGAAGCTGATGTTTGCAAAATGTAGTAAATGTGCGCGTATGATCTATCCTCTCGTCTAGCGACTTCGCGTGGTTTCCAATTGTGTAAGGACCGTGGCGTTGAAGAATTGCGCTATTTGAATTTATCCATTGTGCTATCTCAGTTTTCACCACATTTCTCACTTTTGTTTGGCAGTGTTCCAAGTACTGTTTAGGAATAGTGAGAGGTTTTTGTATGGGCTCGTAGACGTTGTGTCTATTCTGGCATGCGGGACTTTTCCCCTGAACAAATGTGACCTGGAAATACAGCGTCAGTTCTGAACGGTTAAACCGTATTTGTTCTCGTGTTTGTATAAGCTGCGGACTGCGGAGTGATTTTGTTTCCGACGAATTAACAATGACAGTTTTTGGTCCACATCCGAATGTGCTGAATGTTGGTGTTGTTCCCCCTCATTCCCCCTCATTTCCCCTATGCCCTCACACCGTGTTTGGCAACGATCGATCTCTGCGTGTTTTCTGGCAGATCGAGCTATTGATCACAGGCGAAGAGTGAAGGGAATCTGGCGGCTTGTACCATAGATGGGTTACAACTTTGAACGATTTTCTTGTGAGGGGTAATGTTGACAATTGACATAATCCAGGGGCTTCGGGTTTCGGTGCCCTGTAATAACCAAGGTATATAAAAACACTGGTAATAACGACTCATTCTTAGGCCAATCGGGGTCTGTTTGCCCCCGAAGCGCCCTCTCGTTGCAAGGTCTACGCGCCCTCTGGAGTTGCTCTGGAGCTCCCGTCATGCGGTCATTATTCGACACTAAATTTTTAGAAAAAAATTAAATGGTAATTTTTATTTCCCCTCATAATTATTTTTTTTACTCTAGTACTAGTAGGTATTGCGTTCATTTTACTATTTACAGCAACCATATTTATAGCATTTGAAGTATGAGCTTAATGACGCAGCCGTTTCCTATTTGGCGCAGACATTTTTAGCTTCGCCCACGTGTGTGTGTGTGTGTGGGTGTGAATTTCAGTGGTTAGGGTTGTTCGTCGTTTATTTGTTATTTCAGGCCATTTTGAGGAAATGGTACGTGAATATCCAACTATTGCAGTACACTTAATGAGGTCCAAGATCAAAATATCTTTATTTTGCTGTTTGCACTGCTATTGCTATTCCAATTCTGCGTCCGTGTCAAACTTCTGCGTCAAACACTTCAAGTTTGAGTTAGTTGACTGATGACTCACGAAAGTCAGAAAAAAACTGTTTCAGTCTCGTCTCAGTCAGCCATTCCTTGACTTCAAAGGTTTTATTATTATTATGTGCAATCACAATCGCCAGTCTCGTGACGGATCAAATCAGAAAGGTCAAAGGTGCCACAGCCAATTGAGCCAGACATACCAACCTTGAAAGAAGATAATGTCCATTTTTTAAATAGCCAGGTAGCTAGTCTTTTATTTTTTTTTTTTTACTTGCAGGTTGCACTTAGTAGGGTTTTTGATTCATTCGCTAATGGTAGGTAATTAATTGTTCAAACTTGTTTGCGACATACCTAACTATAAAGTAGGTAATGCCTTTCTCATTTTTTTTTTTTACACAAGAAACCTGAAAATGACGTGAGAATTGTGCAACCTAGATGTTTTTCAAAACACTTTTGGTAACATTACACAAGCACAACACAACACAACAATAAACATCAGGATACATTTGAATCATAAATGTTGAAATGTCCGCTGTTGTAGGTGCTGTCTGGCCAGGCAGGGACAGCGCCATTGGCAATGTCTGCCCCGACCCTGGGGAGATCTGTTGGATATGATAGATATGGTTATTGCAGGGTTGTGGCTTTGGTCAGAGTTTGCAGATCTGCCCAGAGTCAGTTTTAGAGTCATTACAATTTGTCTGACTAGACTGAGTCAGATCAGTGTGTATTAACAATGCATGGCTCAAAGCCATGCTCTAAACCTGTTTGGTTGATTGAATTATTTTCATTGACCTTTTCAAATGAGATCTTGCAATTCTGCTAGTTTTGAATTTCAGCCCATAAGCATGATAAATGTCCAGTCTGAGCTGGAGTCTGAGTCTGGCCATTGACTTTGCAGCCCTGGTTGGGTGAACAAACATATTTAATGAAACACTTGCTTCCATATCATGTTTCTATGTTATGGAGTAGCTTGCTCACTAAATTTCACTAGAATGAAAAATGCTTCAAAATTGTAATAGAATAGTAGTACCTAGCTCATACATAAAGCAGACAGTGGCAAATTATGACCAAGTTTGACCAAATGTATGCGAATGTTTGTTCTTTACAGTGTGTCCACTATACATTTTTATCATATCTCTGTTTGAAAATGAGTGCATGGGTTGCAACACCAATATTATGTTATTATTATGCATATTGATATATTATGCCAATATTAATAATAATTGTGCATTCTGCTTTTAATAATGATAACACTATAAGTATTTTTGTTGCAGGTATGCATCTCTAGCTGACCAGACCAGCTATCATGCCAAAGTTTGTGAACCGACGGAAGCAGGCGGCGTCTCGCGGGGGCGGCGGACGCGGACGTCCCTACAACAAGCGGGGCGGCGGCCGCGGCAGGGGTCGCGGTCGGGGCGGCGGCGGCCGGTTCGACAGGGAGCGCTCCGGGAGGCGCCAGGAGAGGGAGCCCAGCCCTCCGCCCGCCGCGCCTCCGCCGCCCGTGTGGAGGCCTGAGAGCGAGAGTGAGGAGGAGGAGCCGACCGCTCTGGAGGAAGTGCTGCGACTGGTCGGAGGAGCGACACGGAAGACCGTCGCTGTGGAGAGTGATGAGGACATGTCCTCAGAGGAGGAGGGAGATGACGGAGGCGAGGGAGAGGATGGGGAGGAGCAGGAGGACAGGGTGACTGGGTCGGCGGGAGAGAGTGAAGGGAGCGAGGGGGATGCAGGGGAGTCGGAAGACGCAGATGCGGCGGAGGCGGAGGAAGTTGAAGGCAGTGAGGGTAGTGCTGGAGAGGAGGCGTCAGATGAGGAAGGTGAAGAGGTAGATGAGGAAGAAGACGCTGATAGCGCGATGGAAGAGGAAGCTGAAGATGAGGAAATGCCCAGTGACAGGGACAAGGAGGACACAGAGGTTCGTGTTTTTGGCCGTAGCATTCCTCTTATAATTTTCGCGGATTAGCGCGGATTTTTTCCACAACTCATTTTATTATTGTATTGTTTGTCCTAATGATTTATTTTCATTCTTCCTTTCGTGGTATAGAAGCACATTTTATGTTGTTTGGGTTACGTCTTCTCCAACCACCGTTTTCGATATTTCAGGACGCGCCAGTCACGCCGTTCCTGCGTCACTTTGAGCTGAACCTGCCGGACGCAGTGGGCGAGTTTCTGCAGACGGCCACCAGGTGGCAGAGTGAGCGGCTGCAGTGGCCCGCGCTCGGTACGCTGATGGCCCAGCACCGGCCCGTGGAGGAGGTGGCGCCGGCGCCGGCCGCCGCGCAGACCGTGGCCGAAGAGGAGACGTTAGGGAGACTCTACAGCACGCCAGTGGCCAAGAGCGATGAGACCCCAGAGAGCTACAACATCCGGCAACAGATCGGTGAGCAAGGGAGCTCAGTGGCTAGGGTGCCGCTAGCATCTTCTTTATCATTAAACTCGGGCCTTTTTTACCGCTCATGCATTTAAGGCATGCCAGCTGCTGCAATCTGCATTTGAATATTGATACCAATATTGATGATCGCAAGTTATGCTCCCACAACATATCCGAGCACTATAAAATAGCACCCACTTTTTTCCGACAGCGGCCAACGTGAGCACGATGAACGAGAAGCTCTTCGACTTGCCGATGACGGAGCTGCAGCGGGAGGTCCTCTCTGTGATTGGGGAGTACCGGGACTTTTACTACCCGCACCGCACCCTGGCCAACGAGGACCAGCTGCGAGTGGTGAGAGCTGTGATGGGGGTGGGCTCGCTGGATGCGCGGAAAATGTGTGCAGCCGGCAGTGCTGACTTTTACATGCAAAGGAACTGACAGGGGACACGAAAACAAGTGGCAGTCAAGAAGAAGTTCTTCTCGACTTAGTATCAAATTCGCATTGAAATTAAATTTTAGAAAGACAATTTTGATAATGTTTTCCATTTTTGTCTGTTTCAAATCGAACATTTCGGGTCAGCTGTGATGTTTTACCGTTATTCTGCTCAGTGCCAGTACCTAACGGCCCCCACTGTTGTTCTCTGTGCTGTCAGGCATACTGCGCGCACGCGCTGAGTCACGTGCTGCGCACCCGCGCCCGGATCGTCCACCACAACTCGAAGGTCTCCAAGAAGGAGGAGGTACCCGACAGCTACCGGGACCAGGGCCTGACGCGGCCCAAGGTGCTGGTCGTGGCGCCCTTCAAACACTCCGCCTACAGGTCAGTTATAGGTGCACGGTAAAGGTCGGGTCCGACAATGGCCAAATGCTGTGGCTTGCTATTCTGCAATCGTTACCTTTTAAAGAAAGTGATGCATACGCGCAAGAATCTGCTTCACTTGCCTCTCAAATCCCTCCCAATTTTACCTCGCTCATCATTCTACACCCAGGCATCACAGATCGATGCTCTAACTCAACCTCACCTTTGCTCTCTCAGGATCATCAACACGCTGATCTCGCTGCTGCAGCCAGCCGGTCAGAGCAGTGTGATGCGCTACAAGCGCTTCGTCCAGGACTTTGGCGACGGTGACGCACCGCCGCCGGCACCTGAGAAGGTGTCCCGGCCGGCCGACTTTCTGGCCACATTCGCCGGGAACACAGACGACGCGTTCAGGATCGGATTGCAGGTTGGTGGGGGAGAGATTGCAGGGTTGGGGTGTGGGAGTTGATTGTACCAGGCGTTCAGCATTGTAGTTTGCTTTCTGTGGCCTTAAAATGGCTTCAGCATGCTAGCCAAGGTATGGAAAAGGAGGGAAGTGTCAAATATTGCTTCATAAATGTGTATCGTTCGCAAAATATCAAAGTTTTTAAGGTCTAACAGCGGTAATGTATTATAACAAAATGTTTTCTTAGACGACCTCCTTCTCCTTCAATCTATGCTCTACATATAACCATATGCGTGCTACGTAAATGCCAATCTGCTCCTCTGCTGTACCTTGTCAGGTAACCAAGAAGAGTATGCGTCTGTACAGCGACTTTTACCACTCTGACGTCATCGTGACGTCACCGCTGGGCCTGCGCACGGTGCTGGGCGCTGACGGCGAGCCGGACCGAGACGTCGACTTCCTCAACTCGATCGAGCTACTCATCATCGACCAGACAGATGTGTTTCTGGTGAGCAGGGGTGCTTCCGTGACGGATTGTTGTAATGGCGTGCTGCTATTGTTAGCGACCGGAGAGTGGCATTTTTTTAGTTTGAAACTGTCCCGTGTCGTATTGGAATTGTGTGTGGTATGAATGAAATGCGGCTAATGTGTATCGTCCTATGAAAGTCCTCGTTACAACTTGTATCTTAGTTAAGCATCCGACATCAACCTGCTCTGGCTTAGTTTTGTTTTGCTTCTCATGCCCATTGCCCCTGTCTCCTATCAGATTCACCAACTAACAGATGTATAACAAGCAACGGTCGCATAACGTGCGCCGTCGAAGCACCATTTAACCCCATCAAACAACATACACGAAACCCGATCCGATCCGCTGCCTGCCCGTCTACAGATGCAGAACTGGGAGCACGTGCTGCACATGCTCGACCACCTACACCTGCAGCCGCGCGACTCGCACGGCGTCGACTTCTCTCGGGTGCGCTACTGGACCCTGAACGGCTGGCAGAAGCTCTACCGACAGACGCTGGTCTTCTCCGCGCTGCCGACCCCCGAGATCAACGCCCTGGTGAGAAAAGCTGTGGACTTCTTGTAAGCGTCTTCTTACGTTATATCTTATCATCGGGTAGTGAGCACTTGAGTGCCGATGATTAGACTGGTTCATAAAATATGCCAATGGGTGTGCCTGTCTGCTTTTTTGCGACATGATTTTTATATTTTTAGAAACGCGTTCTCAGATGGTATTTTCCCCTCCCCGGCTTCGACAAGCTAACGTTGCGCCACTATCTGCCGCAGGTGAGCCGTCACTGTCACAACTACGCCGGTCGTGTGGTGGTGCAAAACCCCGAGCTGGTGGGCTCCATCCAGCAGGTCGTCACTCAGGTGCCGCAGGTCAGTCACTGGTGACGGGCAAAGGTCTGTTGGGAGCGTCCGACTTACGTGAGAAATGTCTGATCACTTGTCACTGGATTCGTGGGTCTTTTTTAGGGATGGGGAGGGGAAGGAAGGGAAGGGAACTTGAGAAGTTGTTTAAATCCATATATAACTATATGTAAGTTTGCTTACTCTGCTTATGAAAACACTCAAGCATGGACTGGGTCGAACGGTAGGTAGTTAAATGTACGAATAAGACAGCGTTATGATGTATCTGCCTTCGGGTGCTCTAACGCAGGTGGTGGAAACCTGCCAACTCCTGACGAGGCCGTCCCCCACCTCCTCTCACAGGCGTTCCAGCGGTTCTGGTCGGAGAGCCTGGCGTCGGAGCCGGACGAGCGGTTCCAGTTCTTCCTGGATAAGATCCTGCCGCAGTACCGGGACGGTCAGATGAGCCACACGATGCTGCTGGTGCCCTCCTACTTTGACTTTGTGCGCATCCGCAACCACTTCATCAAGGAGACGGTCAACTTCGTCCAGTGCTGCGAGTACACCAAGGTATGGGGCGCTAGGGATTGGTGACTTTTCTGGTGGCCGAGTGTTTGTTAGATCAGCTGATGCACTTTTATGTGGTTGGTGTTATCTGATGTCTTTGAATTGTGTTTGAACGTCTGCTGAAAATGCCACAAAGCGACAAATCAAGTATGGTATTCCCATTCTTGTCGAGGATTGAGCTTGCTTTCTGTTGAATGCTAGCTTAGCCCAATAGGTCCAGTAATAGAGTTAACCACAATTTATTTGCAGCGATTCTCCGACATCTTCAAAACCTGTTGTGCGGATCTCACGTCTCGCCGTTTATTTCCAGGACGGCCGAGTGAGTCGGGCGCGCGACATGTTCTTTCACGGCAAGCGGCACATCCTGCTGTACACGGAGCGCTTCCACTTCTTCCGGCGCTACCGCATCAAGGGCATCCGACACGTCATCTTCTACGGGCTGCCACTCTACCCTCAGATCTACAGCGAGATCATGAACCTCATGCAGGTATGTCTGGCAAGGGAGATGAAGCGCTGATGCGTTTTGGGTTCTTGACGTTGTGGAGTCATTGCAATGTAAACGTAACCCCTGTTATGGCTCGGATTGAATTGGCAGTGTCCTAAACGGTTTTAACTGACAGATTGGCTATTGGTCTGTCTGTCTGGACGTGCCTTATGCTTTTCTGAGTATTGAGATCAAAGGCGAAGAATTAAAAACGAATGTCTTTTTACTGACGGCCTGCCTCCGTCTGGTTGTTTGGACCTCTACTGTTTTTTTCGACTCACGGGATAAGCTTGAGTGAGTGGCCGATGGAAGTATGCCAATGAGTGTCCCTTACGGTCTTACCGACTCACTGTCTGCTTGTTAGCCTGTCATTACCTCCCACTGACTTCATCCGCCTCCTCTTCCAGGACATGTACCAGAACCGTCGCGCGGCTCGGAACAGCGGCGGCATGACATGCACGGTACTGTTCTCCCGGTTCGACCGACTCAAACTGGCCAGGGTAGTGGGCGCCGAGAGGGCGGCAGCCATGATAGACTCGGAGAAACAGGTTCACATGTTCATCACGGGGGAGGCGTGACACGGAACCGGGTAGGGGTGGGGAGGAGGGGAGGGGAGGGGAGGGATGGGAGGAGGGGATGAGGGCTGTTTTGTTGGTGGTTTGTGAGAGTTGACTGGTGTGTTCAAGTTAGTTTTGGGCTCGTGTGAGTTATAGCCGTGGGAGGCTGGGATGCTCATCTCATCATGTGATGCACTAATGAATGACGTTTATATGAACTGGTAGGTCATATTTTCGAATAAATTGTCCCATCATAATATTTGAATAGACACGTGAAAGGCGTTTCTAGTTTCAATTAGTCTGGATTTAGAGTTTCCTGAAATAACTGGAAGAAGTTCACTGAAATGGATGTATTGTACAACGGTATCGGAGGTTACAAAACATTGTCGTAGCAGCGCGCCAACAGCGCTGCCTCCATCGCTCACCAGCGGTCCTCAAACTCACAGAGGGTGACTCAGATCCAGTCAGTGGCCCTCAAACTCAATCACCGTCCCAAACTCGCCTCGCTCGCCGCTCACGCCCCTACATGTATCACAACCGTATTGCAAACGTAGGAACGACACGCACCACGGGCTAACGACTGACGGATATGTATGTTCAGGGGCGCTACTGTGCAACGGCGGGTAACAGACGTACTCGTACTCTTCAACTCTCCATTAGCAATGGCCGATGGCCGCGGCGCCTCCAACGGCTGACGTCCGCCCGTCTTCTATTCGATATGATTGCGTGTTATGTACCGGTTACTGTTGCCTCGATATGTTAATGATATAGTTTTGGTATTGCACGGATTGTGCTTTCGATTGTCGGATGATCACTCAACCTCAAAAAGCCGTCAAAAATCCATATCAAGCGCAAATAACAAACAAGACGCCAACCGATCAAACATTGTCTAGCATGTCTCGAGTTGACATTCACCACTTGGCTTCGCGTTCCACTGTGTCCACCAAATCGGAACAAAGTCGCGGCCCGCCGAGGGTTGCCTATGCTGCAGGGTAGGCCACCTGTTCGCTGCTCCCTGCTCCGCTGCGCCGGCGGCGGCCGGGCCTGGCGCCGGCCCTGCCATCTGTCGGCGTGGCGACGAAGCTGTGGTTGCTCCGGCCGCCGTCTCCGTTACTGAAGCTGTGTCGGCTCGGGCCGGGTGTTCCGTAGGCGGAGTCGGCACTGCAGAGAGAATGGGTGCGACTGGCCGGCTGTCGTCCGCACGGCCCCGCTGCCGCCGACCGCTGCTGTCGGCACAGGTCAAGGTCACGGTCAGTGACACGTCTGGCTGCTGGCAAACAGTAGCCCATGTCGCGATCTCTCAAAATGGACTTTACTTTTCGGGTTGATAATCTGCTAGTATCATCACTACGTTCAATCCGATCCATTACCTGTTGCGTTATGGGTGCTCCTGCCGACGTCGTCAGCTCTGCAGCACTCTCCGGCTCGTCTCCAACTCCTCCCAAATGGACCACCTCGTTCAGATCTGTCTCGGCGTACAGCGACGAGCTGCTGTCGCTGATGGAGCTCTCCCCTGCCGCGTACGGAGCGGTTGGAGGCGACGGCTGAGTGCTCCGATCCACCGCCGGGCCGGAGCCGTACCCGGAGCCGAAGGTGAGCTCCGGGGGCGGTCCGGAGCCGGAGCCGCGCGGTCGCGGTCGTCGCCGCCGCGCCGCCGACCGCTCCAGCTCACAGTTGCACACCGTGTCACAGTCGCTGTGGCCGATATCTGAGGGGAAAGGGGTGGTCGTTTAGCGGCGAAAGACAGTCATATGGACATATCGTCGCATCATTGATGCGACCTTAGCTATTGTTTTGTGTTAGTGCTAACACAAAGGGGTGCTTATGCACCCCTGCTTATTCCAGCGGCGCATGAAACGATCTCCAATTTGATAAAAGAACTGGTCTTTCCGAGGCCTGCGTTTCGTTTATTCACACCGAGCAAATTTAATCTTCACAGGTGCACGTATTAATATCTACGGAAGTTGGATGCGTGCTATCGATATGCATTTATCATGACTGAGACGGATTTTCACTGGAAATCTCTCCGTCGAAAATATGGCTGGACTCTCGGCTGACTACCTGGCGTCCAATGATAAATAACTAAGTCAGTTTTGTCCCTCTTCGTCCCATCGGCCCAACACACGTCTGAATTCCCCAAAGACAGCGCCGGAGCTGGACCGAAAATTGAGCCAATCAATGCCCGACTTGAGCGACGCCGCGCGGCCAGGCGGCTAATTTAGTCACACGACGAACATCTTTCAGGGCGCGGAAAATGCTCAGACGTGATTTTGTGACTGGGAACGATCAGGAATTGACCGGTCGATCGCGTGAGACACGTCATAGGACAGAGTTCGCCGGCGGTGGAACGGTTGGTAGGTGCAGCGGTGTTTCTGAAGGCAGCAAAGGCAGACGCCTAAAATTGAGGTCTGAAGAGGACAAAGCCTAGGCAGGTGATCTCTCTTTCTTGAGAGATCACCGGCCAATCAAATGATAGATGCGAAGTCACGCTTCAAAAACCTGGTGCGTGCTTTTACCAATTGATTGAATAAGTCAGCAGACGGTGAACGTCTCATTTTACCTGAGCTAACAATAAGCTGTTATAAACGGGCAATGCTAAGTTCAGAGTCGTACGGTGTTTGAGTCGAAAAGGTGCCCAAGTATATCGCAATCTCGAATCAGCAGCGAGGTCCTTCGATACTCGTCCGCCTTGACCCAAACATCGTTAACATACATTTACCTGGTGCATCTCAGAACTACGGACAACCAATTAAAACTTTCTCTCCCATTCATTTCACGCTCGAATAGAGTGCATCCCCTGAAGTAGCTAGGTAGGCACTTCATCGAGCACCGTTGCATATTCTGAGCTCAGGGAGCCGGTCTTATGTCTCGCCCGAATGTGATGAACCCGGAACTTTGTCGCGAAATTGACTACCGAAACTGGAATACTTGTGAACGAGTTTGGGACGGCGTGATCGGTGGGTGTCCTGCGAGCGCTGTCTCCGGTATTTGACCCCCAGTTATGGATGAGCCGTGTTTTACCATAGGTCACCCGAGTCGTGACTTTCGAAACGCGCCCAGCCTATTAGTATCGCATTGAGCTGATGCATTGATCTTCGATGTTATTAGAATGCTACTGACCTCTCTCGACTAATCGTTAATTGGTCGATGACTGGGCGCACCTTTTTCAGATGCAGAAGCGCATCGTCAACTACCAACCATTGTGCGTTAGTAGGTAATATATCTGTAAGCTCACTTCAAGGGCCCTCTTTCTCACAGATCCTAGACACAGACCCGTATATACCTTACCGGGTGACTCTGGCGGCGGAGCCGTCGGCCTGCGTCTCCCAGACATATACACACAGACACATACGCAGAGACCCATCCATGTCGTACCGGGCGACTCTGGCGGCAGCGGCGGCGGCCTGCCCCGGCCGTAGTCACACTCGTAGCAGCAGCAGCACTCTTGGTACGAGCCGCTGCTGTAGAGAGACGGCGGCGGCGCGCGGTGGCGGTCGTGGCGCAGCCGCGGGCTGGCCGGCTGCGAATGTGGCGCGCCAGCGACGCCCAGCGCCGAGCGCGCGCTCTGAAATGGCGCGCCCGAGTCAAACACGGCAGGTCAGCCGTCGGCGAACCGATTTGGCCGTGATAAACGGTGTCGTTAAGTGGTGCTTATGGCCGCCGACATAGTTATGCTGTTAAATGGCGGCACAAGTGGAGCTGGCTGAAAATTGAGCTCGGATATTTGGCGAGCATATGTCGGTAGATGACTGTGAAGCCACTGACGATTACTGCGCCCGGTGGGGTCATCGTCGCCGGCAGACGCGTCATGTGACCTCGCCGGGTCATGGCGCTCTGTGAGCCACCGTAAACGGTCGGCTCTAACAGCGCCCCAGGGCGTGCTTCGGACCATCGTAACCGGCGGCTATGAACCGGCAGTCAGCCGTGATGATATGGATGTTCGCATACATATGTCGAGCGTTTATCAGTTACCGGTGGCAACTCGGTGACACATGGAACGGAACACAGCATAAACGTGATGAACAACATGCAGCATTAATTAGCATAAATAAAAGATATGGATATAACCCGACTTAAACCCACGACGATAACTGTGTCCTATCAATGACAATGGATGACCATCAGTAGTTTAGGGAACCATTGTTTGTATGTTCATGAATATTGTCATATATTCATGCATTTAGCATACATTTTATCATCAGTTTCTGGCTATCTGCCCATCCTCTATTTCGACAACTCCGACTAAAAACCACCCTCCATCTACTCTCCCCTCTCCTTCGTTCCATTTCCTCACCTGCACCCCGAGACTGTGCAGCCGGCGGGCCATCCGGGCCGAGCCCAGGCTGCGGTGCAGACCCGGTCTGGGCGACTCGGGCGGGGTCTGTACCGAGCTCAGCGAGCCCACCACTCGCGCACTCGCGTACAGACCCACCGCCTGCTCACTCAGACCGTTCACATAGAGGTGCCGGTCGACGTTCGAGTCTCTCTCCTCAGAGGGGAAGGCGCTCTTGGTGAAGAGTTCGTCCCTGAGCCAGAGCGTGTTTTGGCTGAGACTCATGTCCGCGGGGAAGCCCTGCACGGATGGCGGGTGCTTCGAGTCCGCCAGCTCCGCTGTGGGGGAACGGTGTGGGCGTGTCAGCGACTCGGAAATGAGATCCCGAGATTGATGAAAAATGGGCTAATGTAGGATGAACAATGGATGGTTAGAAGGAAGATGAATAGCATTGTTTTACCCGTTTCCACAAAACTCACGGCTTGAATACCATCAACGTTTAGCCATCCCGCGACAAATTTCGGTAGGTAACCCATGAGATACGGCACGTAAAAGCGTTTCACGTTTGCATTCTCCACAGAGTTTACCCTGGGTCACGGCGGTCTCCATGCCGGAAGGTCACGACACTATCGACCCATTAAACAACCACTTAGCCTGGTTAGCAGTCCCCGCGGGAGTCTAGCCCGCTGTTGGCGAGTCGCCTCTCGCTCCGGCCGCCTGTGAGCCGTCCCCCAGCACAGCGCTCCGGCCTGGTTATTGGGCTGCGGCACCAGCTGTAATTGATGGATTCGAGTGCGCGCACGCCATTGTTTGAATGATAAATGGTCTCGGCGCTGGCGTGCCGATCAGGTGCTGACTAAAAATCGTCGATCGCCACCCCGACGGTGATTTGTTGGAAAAAGGCGCAAAATTGGCCCGTCGCTGCTCGGATGGAATAGAGGCGGATGGGGGAGGCGATGCGAAAGTCAGGGCCAAATGGCAGTGCGGCGAAATGTTTGAATGGTGTTTAATGGTGATAACGCAACACGCAGGGATGCGATTGAATGGGCTTACCGTGGCGTTAACAGACCCATTAGTTGCTACTATAAAGCTATTTTATATCGGCTCTTCAACAGGAGCTCAGCCATGGGAGCACACCAAACACCTGCTCCCCGTGAACGCCTTAAAGCCATTATCTGAAGGACTTCATTCCAAGGAGTGTCTAAGCTACCCATTATCAAAATGTTTAAATGGGAGCGAAGGCTCAAAACGCTGACATTTTAATGATAGTTTCCTGGTTCCTGGTTTCTTAACCACTTGACTCTCCTTGTCTGCCGATAATCATACATTACACCTGATTTTCTTACAAATGCTGTTTTGCAATTGGAACCTAAACGCACTTAAACGCTTTACGCTGCACTAGTCGAAGTTTTGGGCATTGATCACTAAACACAAACACGTGTAACGTTTCGATAAACGGACAATCATGCCTGCTAAATTGAAAGTTATTTAAAGCATGTAGCAGACAAGTCAGGATCATTTTATGCTGAATGATTGATCGAACGGTGATAAACGGTAAAGAACGGTATACTATTCTAATTAGGTGAACATGCTTTTGACTAAGCATAAATAAAAAATGAAATAAAAATAAGATAAAATATAAAATAAAACTATAAAACAGTGTCCAGCGCAGGTGCGTCTCAAACCCAGCTGTGTTCACTCACGCGTGGTTCCTGCGAGCACACTCTGTTTCTTCCTGAGCCGGTGGCAGTGGAGCGCCAGGACGCCCGCTCCCAGCGCGAACAGGCCCACACAGCACAGCGCCGCCACCAGCCACGTGGGCATGTGTCTGACCGTCACGTGACGCGGCACAGTGGCCGTCACCGTCAGCGGGGGGTCTGTCACCGCCGCTCCTCCGTCACCGGCACCGTCACGGACGTCATCGCCGCCGTCTCCGGGGCTGGTGTCGGTGCCGGTGCCGGCGTCAGGTCTCCACCAGGCCGAGAAGGGGCCGCGGCCGGCGGCGGTTACTGCGGCCACTCGAACCCGTAGATGAGCGCGACGACCGGCCAGCGCCAGCCGCCGCTGGGTCACGTGGTATGTGCGCTCCGTGTCGGTCGCCGAGGGGTCCGCGGAGCCTGTGAAACTCCCAGCGGACGAGGCAGAGGCCGAGGAGGACTCCAGAGCGGCTGTCTCCCGGTCCGCAGAGCGCACCGTCACCGCATACCCGGTGACCCGTCCGTTGGTGACCTCGGGCGGCAGCTGTGACCAGGCGATCACCGTCTCCGAACCGGTGAAGGTCACCGTCAGGTTTCCAGGCGCCGCCGACGGCACTGCGAACGAACCAAAGGCGGACCTGTGATGGGAATCGATCTCACGTCGGGCAATCGGGCCGAACTGACGGATACGGGCCGGAGGGCAGTAACGGCAGCCAACTGATCCATTGGTCGTCGTTGTTGCAATCACCCGCCCGCAAATGTGCCGTATTGTGCGCTCACTGGGCATGACAGGCTATTACGACTTGATTTGGCCGTGGCAATCAGAGATAACGGTCAGCGATCGGCAGGGTATGAATTGCTGAGTGCTCCGACCGCTGAATTCAATGGAACATCGCCCCAGGGAGGCAAGGTGAGTGTTGACGTCAGCAGTTTGATGTTTTGGATTATTATCGGAATGTCAATGCACATAGAGTATTTATGAGTTACCGAAAACCCGTTGGAATAACCGGGAAGTTCAAAAAGTAAGTTTATGGTTTATTGTTTATTGTTTATTTCAATTTAGTACCAACGGGCAATTTAGTTCTACGGTCACCTGTAATAATTGCAGTCTTGTCATAAAATTGACGCGTAGTTTAGTTTAGTTTTGCGCGTAAGTATAGGTACATATTACTTGAACAGCCCATGGGAAAGATACAGCCGAACTACAATCATATGATGAAACTAAAAATAAGACCTAGCGATGCATTGGTGAATCAATAGGCATATCACTAAAAGCGAGATATTTTGTGAGGGTATAAACTATAAAGTTTTAATTATTGCCTAGCCTGTAATTCATACCATCTTCAGAAGTCTGCTATCATCACGTAAATCAGCCCCTATTTAGTGATCCTCTTTATATGGAAATGTAGACATTGACCTGCACGAAGGTCGAACATCCTCTTTCAATGAGCGCCTTCCGGCTGATGCCTATAGAGCGGTGCTATCGCGGCCCGATGACTCCATTCTACGGTCACCACTTTCGAGTTTAATGGAAAACTTCGATCCTCACAACTCGGCACCTAATAATTATTCATAGAAAGTGGCTGCTCATGAGCGGCTCCACTGGGACCGTGGGCCCGAGCAGCATCCATAACGAGCCCGCTCGTCGGACTCGGCGCGCGCGACGCGGCCGGCCCGAGACGAGTGCCCGCCAGGCACGTCCCGGCGGTAGCATTTACCGGCCGGTAAAGGGTGCGCCTGATTACCATAACTCGATTAGACGGCTGTTATTTTCGCTGAGCGTCCAACTGAAACTGTCCGGCCACGGCGCCGGCGCTGATGGAAACGGACTCGTCATTTAACAGCCGGGGTCTGTCTGCACGGCATGCGGGCGGGGTGGATTTCGGCAAGTGAGTTTGTTTGGGATGTGCCTAGCCTAGGTCCTACGCATGTCATTCAAAGTCAATAAAAGTTGTTGGGTGAAACGCTATTTGACTCATGTGTGTAATTGTAAAAAATCGTCAATCGACATGTAAGCAGGAAACACCATAGCTATTTATAGGTACGCCTAAGCCTAATTCAAGAAGTCATCGTTTTCTCGTCTGGGCCAAGATTCTTATAGATATGGTCTGGGCTATGTTTCCGCGGCCTTGCGTCCATGTGAAACATGATAAAAAACATGCGCTGAAAAAGCCAAGCATTTATATGGTGGTAAAAATGATACAAAGAAAAAGCACCAGGTACATGGTAACGCCCCAATAACACTATGCAACAGTCATTTTGTTCCTGAGTAACGACCGATTTTTTTGGACTCATTGGATCTCATTATAACCGAAATGGGCATTTGTTTTGATCTGAAAATGCTTTTCCGGTTTTCAGAGACGATTTTCGATTTTTGGCCCCGAAATTCGGTTTTTGGCCCACCGTGTCCGGTGTAATTGAGTAATCGACTCGCGGTAACTTTCATCGCCTTTCCTATGCCACAAGCTTTCGAATGATATCCGTTTTTGCATATTTGCTTGTAAAAATAACGTCATAAATCTATGCTAAAGTAAGAAAATGTTGAAATTTTGTAAAAATTTGACATTTTTTTCGATTTCATTTCAAAATAGAGAAAAAACTTAAGGCTCTATCAAAATTCTGAGCCCAGTTCCTTGAAGAGCATTCAATTTCCGTTCGGAAGGTATTATTTTAGAGCATTTTATCGGTTTACTGTGGCGTCCAGATTGAGTCACTTGAAAAACGGGCCCCCAGCCATTTCCATGACAATATGTGTTCAGTGCATGAAGAATCATTCTAACAAATGGAGGTACAGATCAAGATTCTGAGCGACAGGACTGCTCAAAAGTAAGTTCCTGTGTGTGACCCGAGGTCACAAGGGGTCAACAACATGACCTCAGTTGACCCCTCGTTGACCCTATGGCGTTAACATACGTTATCAGGTTAATGCTATGTGATATGACCTAGGATATGTGTTTAGGTTAACTCAATCTGGACGGCACAGTAAACCGATAAAATGCACTAAAATAGTACCTTCCGAACGGAAATTGAATGCTCTTCAAGGGACTGGGCTCAGAATTTTGATAGGGCCTTTAGTTTTTTCTCTATTTTGAAATGAAATCGAAAAAAAATGTAAATTTTTTTACAAAATTTCAACATTTTCTTACTTTAGCATAGATTTATGACGTTATTTTTACACGCAAATATGCAAAAACGGATATCATTCGAAAGCTTGTGGCATAGGAAAGGCGGTGAAAGTTACCGCGAGTCGATTACTCAATTACACCGGACACGGTGGGCCAAAAACCGAATTTCGGGGCCAAAAATCGAAAATCGTCTCTGAAAACCGGAAAAGCATTTTCAGATCAAAACAAATGCCCATTTCGGTTATGATAGGACCCAATGAATAAGAAAAATTTGGTCGCTTTCCAGGATCAGAAAATCTTTCAATTTTTGTTGCATAGTGTAATATGCCAATCCCATAGACGGTCAGCAATTTTTTATGAACCACTTCAATAAATGATATAAGCCAAATATTCGCACTGGCCTGTTGCTTCAGTTGCTGCCATTTCTGAGAGCGAGCATTAGTTGCACCACATTCAGATCGGCCGCTGATTTAACCCCACCAGCCGTTGAGCGTCGCCGTGGCACCTTTGGCGCTGCCGTTGGAATGGTCATCGCTCCGTGCCTGGCGGCGTCAAGTAGCAATATCGCGGCGAGTGGCCACCGCCGGACAAAGCTCACTGGCCGATGTTTTCCTCGGCGGTAATCGGCCGCCCCCGCCCCCGCCGCCGCCGCCGCCATCCGCCGCTCAGTGGCGAGCAGCTCCCCAGTCGAGCGGCGACAAAGAGGAGCCGTATTCCCGAGACGGTGCTCGCCTGATCGCCGCATTATAGCCGATCAGCCGGCGCTCCGGCGGCCACGGGCGGCGCCCCATGGGTGCCGCCGAGTGGGTGCAGCGGCGGGTGCGGGAGCGGGATATACCGCGAGAGCGCCGGACGGGGAGGGAGGGGCTGCCGCTCAACGGCCGATATCGGCATTCCGTCTGGCAGATGGGAGCGAACGTGAGCTGACCGACGCCGTTAGCCGAGCCGTGTTATTGCGGCTGGCAGCCCGTCCGACCGCGGGGGATCGACGGACTGGCGCGGCGGCTGGCGGGTGCATCCGCCGTGGACGGGGATTGACTGCGATACCACCGGACGAGTGGTTTACGGACCCGGTCAGAGCTCACAGGTGGGCCACGAAGCGTTGATCAGCCGCCCGCGGCCGCCCGTCAGGGGTCACTGGTCCGATAACGATGCTGCAAATAACCGCCGGCAGCTGGCACCTGGTCCGCCGGTCAATAGCCCAGGTGGAGTGGCGAGTGACCGCCAGATATGACCACCAGGACTGCCGTGTCATGACTCACTCCGGCGACCTGTTCCAACAGTTGGGACGGTGAGTGAAATTCTGCTCACGGCCAGGTCGTCGGCGTGGATGGCGTGACTTTTGTCATTCAAACTCAGTCAGTCAGCCGGGCCAATTAGGCCGCCGTCATCAGCGAGCGAATCGATAACAGACTTCAGAGAAATGTGAACACCGTACATTCTGCGTGGTGTTTTTGTTCGAGTTAAACCTGAAGTGGTTAGCCCCGCGTGGCTCAATAAGACTCGGTGGACAGAGTTGTTTCTCGAGTCATCAGCCGGAGGGTCTCTTCATCTATCTTGTGCCGTCGTATCTGCGCTGATGATTCTTTTTGCTTTTTGTCTGGTGCTGATCCGCGACACAGCTCGTTTGGCACGAGCGGCGCTGCGCGGCCGGCGTCTCACTGGGGACAGCTCGCTCATTCTCTGTCCCTCCTCCAGCCACGCCAATTTCGCTTCTTGCGCGCAGCAGCCGGCCAGGGAAAGATACTGCACGCAGAGCGATATGTCTGCTCCCCAGTGAGAAAACAAGGGGAATGATACACTGGTCTTTTGGTATGGGAGATGCCACGGGGACGATACATCGGTCTATTTGTCAGGGAGATAACCAGGAGCACGATAACAATATGGCTATTTGTCTTTCAGCTCTAGTCTTTCAGCTATTAGTGCCGGTATCGCGGGTAACAATAGTTACGAGTGTTTGCCTTTAGTCTGATTTTAAAATACAGTTGACTTCAGAATGATGCTCCACTTTTCACACGGGCAATCAGTTGCCTGGAGTGGTAGGCTGTGCCGCACCACAAGGGCTGAGTGATACAGATGAATTATGTGAGCCAATGCACAGTGCTCACCATAGACATATCATGTTCCGCATGATACGCGGAACAATTTAGCGCGTTCCAGTCCATTGATAGCTTCTTAGGCGCAGAACATCATTCTGTAGTCAACTGTACATTGGAGGCATAAAACCAGTAATTAGTGATGGAACAGACGACAAAGAGCTGGTTCGTATGATACCACGAAATAACTCATCTGAGTCAACAATACTTCCCAAAGAAAGCACATGATGCAGTGTTCAACTAGACAGGCGCTGTTACAGCCACTATAGCTCATACCTATGGTTGTGGAGATGAGTAGGCATCGTGGGTGTGATGCAATTGAGTCTCAATAATTGAGACACCGTGGATATATTATACATTGATACTTTGACAGCTCGCCGGGGAAACATGTATTGGATAATCAGGTGGATGTGGCGAATGGAATATTAAAACAGAGAAACGAAAACGATACACTTGGTGTAAGTCGTAAGGAGTATAAGGAGTGCTTCCTTAGAAATAACTAGAACGATGTGGCCTCTTCGTAACGTATTTCACCTCCGTTCCATCTCGGAATTAAATAATTTGACCAGCAGATCGCCGTATCCTTCGCGTGCCCTGAGCCGTCTCGCGCCGCCGACAAAATATAAAGTTCCGGCTCAGTTTCCAAATTCCAGACCTTCACTATCTTCACATTCGCGAGCCTCCAGTGCCTCCGTCCGTCCTTCCCACTTCTCTCACTCCCCTCCCCGCCCCGCCCCGGGGGCGCACCGGCACACGTCGCGATGAATGGCCAAGCCGTGTGCGGCGGCAGCGCCCGTAAACTTTGATGATCTCGGTCCGTCTCGCCCCCTCTCCGCCACCGGTTATGGGACGGCCGGCCGACCGGGGCGGCGCACGGAACTCAAGTATGGCTATCGACCGAGACGAGAGGAGAGAAGACGCGGTGGATGACGTCATACAGTGATGTCACCGCAGATAACGTGGCACAGGTGAGTGGACTGGACGTTCGCGAGGGGGTGTATGTGCGTTTGTGCGTCATTCGAGAAGCCATCTGATTGGTATATTGCCCTGCCCGACTCGCATACATTTACGAGCAGTGACATGGTAACACAAGTAGCATGGTATCCCTAGGTCGCAACGGCTTCTTACGCGGACGCTAGCCTATAGAAGCCCGGCGGAGGCGGTTGGTGACGTCACTCTGACGTCAGCACAGGTACGGATCCAGTGCCAGCGTTAATGGTGCGCAAATTAGAGACAAAGGTCGACACAGGCCAGCACTCTCCGCACAGTTGTAGATAATGCGGCTAACTGATGCGAGATTCTCTTTCCATTGGCACCTGTTTTTTTACTATGGATATATGTGCCTACGCATTCATGCGGGTATCGAGGAAACTATAAATGTATTCTTCAAAGTGCAAAACATCTGTTTGCTTGATAATCTGATGAGACGTCAGAATACAGCAATGCATCAATCGACTTATAATAAACAATAAAATAATATCGTTTTAGGTGGCGAATTATGTCTCAGTGATCGTATACCTACCATTGACAGATCAAAGTGCAATGTCGAAGATCAAAGGTTAGCGCCAAGCGACGTCAAAGTGCTGCCTTCCGTCAACATGAACGACGTTCAGCTAAGGTCACATATAAACACGTTGTGCTATTGTTCAGAAACTGTTTACATTCCTGCCCAGTTCAGGTAGCCGCACTTCTCAAAGGCGGCTAAAGTGACCCTCTTGTCCCCTACCTATTCCGTCTCCTGTCCACTCCTTTCCCCTACCTATCCCGTCTCCTGTCCACTCCTGTCCCACCCTGACCCCTCCTGACCCCTGCTGCCCCTTGTCCCCTCCGTTCCCCAGCACTGACCTGCCTCGGGCAGCCGCACCTCCCTCAGGCGGCTGAGGCGGCCCTCTCGACCCGCTCTGAACGGCACCAGGAACAGCTGGTAGGCAGCTCCGGCTCGCAGCCCCGTCAGCTCGTAGCTCTCGGCTCCTCCGTTCAGCACGGTCACTCGGCGGAGCTGGGTGTCACCCGGAGCGACGCGGGAACGCTGGGAGGGGGCCGCGACCTCGCCATCGGCCGGGGGTAGCAGGATGTAGCAGATGTAGAACCCGTCCACTGGCCGCCGGTCAGAGGTCTGTCCAGAGAGGAGAGAAAAAAATGTCAGAGCATATAATGCATATAAATAACGATCTGTGGAATATAATTAATCTGCGTGGCTTCTAACGAGTAACGACACAGGCAATTCTAATTTGCATCTGAATGCGAGGTTTTTAAACGTGTGGCTTGTAAGTGTGACCAAGCTTTGTGTTATGCAAGCATGCTTTACATATGTATATCAATTAAATATTAAAAAAAAACTGTAACGACTACCCTTTGCAGGGCTTCCACGCTTCTTTGTTGGTGTTGACAAAACAAACGCAAGCTCTTCGGTGTGAGGAAAGGCTTCCAAGCAAAAGAATCTTTTTGAAGTATTGTGTTTGCTACAAAAGGGCTGTAAGGGCAAGATTTTAAATGAAGTCTCTTTGACGGGTTTCCTTTGATTACATAAAGAAAACTTGCTGCATTCAGTCATAAAGTGCTTTTGTAGTGAAGCGATGCAAAATATAACGTCGGTTTAGTCATGTTTCATTGGCAGCTTGCTTTTAAGGGCATTTTTATTTATTATAAAGCCCACATCATTATTGTTGCCTTTACGACTTGCCACCCCCCACACGCGCTACCATCGATTGAGTTATGACTGACGGCTGTGCTGAATTACGATCGAAAAGAGTTTTGAAGACAATAAATCTAAATTAAAAATGATAACCTTTGTAACATCTTGAGGCAAAAGCTCTGTAGATGCGCTGCAGCAGCAATTCCTTTACTGGTATTGCGTGCAATTTTAAAAATACTCGGACAGACAGCACAAAGTATGTCATATTTCTAGTTTGGCTGTTCGATCGGCCCCGTCAATCCAGTTGCAATTTGATGCAATAAAAAAACCTGTAACCGTCACGCGACATCGAATGCGACTTTCGTTTGTTTGCTCGATCGTCAAACAGCATTTTCATCAAAGACTCCGCCATGTTGACCCAGACGAGCATGTGTTCTTTTTAAAATCGAAAGGAGTTTCTTCTCTGTCTGACATACAGATGGCTTCGGACGGATTGTGGGAGTCATGGTAGCACATCACTATAAGAGTGCATCGAATCCATTGATAAATAATGCTTTTCAGCTGACGAGATCGACTGGACACTAGAATGTTTGTAAGAGGTAATCCTCGACCGAAGCGGAACACCTTGGTTGGGGGGACACCCGGTTGAAGTAGGAAGTGTCTAAATACCGGTCTGGTCTAACTTATGCCTGAGCTCGCCCTCGATCCTTACCTTCCAGGTCAGCCGTACGGAGTGCTGTCCGGTGACCTTGACCTCCTCTAGGTGCACCAGCTCGCTGTGCAGGCTGCTGGGTGTGACCTTGACCTCGTGGTCGGCGGGCTTGGGCCCGGTGTGGAGCAGCACTCTGCTGGCCACCGAGCCGGCGGCACTGGTGGCCGCGCACACCCACCAGCCCAGGTCAGCAGACGTCACCGGCGAAATGTACAGGTCGTTCTGAATGGACGTCGTAATGCGATCCCGCTCCTGAAAAACAAATGCCGCGTCAATCTCAATCAGCGTCCCAGTCGGCCCCGCTGCGCCATTCCCGAGTGCAGCCAATGCCGCTATAATTTTCAATAATGTAGTTAATATTTGAAATAAACGTTGGTAATTGAAAACATCCCAAGCAATAAGCATTGCTTTAAGTTGAAGTTCTGTATTTATAGAGTGCAATGTTTTTTTCGCTTCACCCTGCCGGTCCGAACCAGATTGCCTTCACTCACAGACGCTAGATGGCAGCACACAAAAGCCCTGAGCTGGTAGGCTGTACCGCAATGCACCTTTGTCGTGCGGAACAGCATCCAGCCGAAGTTCAACACTGGCGACCAAAGCAGGCTTGGAAGAAGCAACAAGCACTATTGATTCTTTGCCAATTATTTGCTCAATATCTTCGGCTACATTGCATTTATTACTGCCGGATTTGATAGATTTAATCAAATCCACCTCATTTCTACCGGCTCAGCGTCTGGCTGTGAGCGCCGGAGAAAGTTCAGCCTAGTCCGTGCCCAGTCACCTCACCTGATCGGCGAGGAGCGGGTCGAAGCTGGCCTCCTTCCACCAGACACCCCGCGGCACCGGGTGACCCCTGACCTGGCACTTGAGCGCCGCCGCCGAGCCGAGCCGCACCGACTTCTGGGCCGGCGCGTCCACACTGGGAGACACTGCATTGGAAGAACGCCCGTGGTCGGCGAACGGAGCAGTGAATGGAGGAACAGGCACAGTAAAAGGGATACTGAATTAGAGGCAGACTGCCATATGGGACGTGGAATTGGAAGGAAAGGCTTGTGAGACGGGACTCGTAATCAAGTAATCAGGAATACAGAACAGTCGGAAAGGATATTACGAATAAAAAAAAAACAAGCTTACAAAACTGAACCTTGATAACTAACATACGGAATAATTGGTGATACCGCTACTTGATAATGCTGTAATTGTAATGTAACTATCGTGTCTGCTTCTTTTCAGAATTTACAACGCTCCTTTCCTAGAATGCGCAAAACACTTCCTCCCACACAGCAGCTTATCATCCTGCGGCAGCTACATAGACTAAGCCATTCATAAGCGTTAGCTATTCCAAGGTAAGTATCTAAGCCATTCCGTTTTTCTCCGAGTGACGCTCCCCAGACCGCCATCTTACCATGTACGTTGACTGTGGTTGGTGCTGAAATGCGTCCCGCCTCGTTCTCCGCCTCGCAGCTGTACTGACCAGCGTCCGACGGTTGTAGGCCGTCTATCCGCATACTGTTGTCCTGCAGAAACAGAGTTTCAAATTACAATGACGGATAAACCGTTGGGCGTTGGCCGTATCATGCGGGATAATACGCTAGTCATTCCAAATGACCATTAAATTCTAATTTTGAAACACTTTTTCAAGGTTTCAATGAATCTGTTTTTTTTTTTTTACTGAGTGGGGTAGGAGCGGATCTCTCCTTACCTCGGTGTAGTGGAGCCGACCGACGGGTAGCGCTCCGTTGAGACGTCGCCAGTGGACCCTTGGCTGGGGTGTTCCACCGACACGACAGGGTAACAGCAGGGAGCCTCCGGCCAGCCCGAGCCCGGGAGACGGCCGCAGGACAAAGTACGGACTCACTGGGAATAACGATAGGCAATGCGCATACTTAGTATGTGTGAATGTGGTTCTCCAAAATAGTATAGTGTGTGTGGTTGCTTGTATGACAGTCATAAAAAACGCGTGCCTTGTCTGCATAGCATTTTTGGAGAATGAATATGACATAACTGGGACAATGCAATTTTCAGACTTTCTTTGTCCCACACGAAAAAAAAAAATGAATTGCTAAGCCGATTTTGGTAAAGCTTGTTACACGAGATAGTGGGGAAAATATTGGAGTGTTATGTTTTTCTGTCTGTTATCGCCAAGAACTGTTCCGCATTTTAAGACTCTAATAACATCTATCGGATCGGCTGGGTGGCAATCCGCTGTCTAGACTGACGCCCCGACATTCGGTTAGCGCCCAGATCCAATTGGCCGTCGAATCTATCGGCGCCTGTCGATGGACAAAGAACAGAGCACACTCACTGTCTCTCAACTGACCGGCAACACTCGACCGGGCGGGCAGTGAAATACTCTGCCGGGTCGAGTGAAAAAGCGGTCAGAGAAAAACGCGACTGGTCAGCCAAATAAAAAATCCGGCTTGATGGTATACAGGTGTGCAGTTGTGCAATGGATATATTTCTGCTCGTTTTTTTTGTGTTGTGATCGATAAAGCTAGGTTACAAAATTGATACTAACATTTAGCAATTAATCAATAGACTTAGATTATGACATATACGGCGAAATAGTTTAGGTAATACAATACACTAAAATGTTCGATGTGATATAAATACGTGATAATCCTACCCAGAGATGTTAGCAAATCAGCAAGACAAACATATGTATTAGTCAAGGTTATCCTTATACAAAATACATTTGCACATCACATGACCCCACATTCAGTATTTGAGATTAGACATACCTAGAACGGTGAGCTGCGCTGGCCGTGACCGGCGCACCCCCAGCACGTTGGAGGCCTGGCAGACGTAGTCTCCAGCGTCCGAACGCTGCACGCTCGCTATGTGCAGGTCGAATCGCTCCATTCTCAGTCTGCCACGAGATTGAGAGGAGGTGTCGAATCGAATGGTTAGACTGGATGGAGGAGAACACTTGAAGCTTCAGCTCCAATGCTGATGTACAGTTCACAAGCTTATGGCATCGTCAGTCGATTGATATTGTCCTTGAGAATGGCCTCCGAAGGCCAAGAAAATGGCAGTTACATAATGACAGGACAGCAGGGATAAATCTTACAACAATGGAAGTCAACCACTAGGGCACTCGTCCAATAGTATGACAGGGGAATATGACTTGAAATATGGCATGCGACATGTGGGAAAATATGGCACACCGCACAACATTATTTCATAATAGAGATTGTAACATGGTGCAATATAGTCGATTTCCAATGTTTTACCTCTATATCAATAGATGGAAGTTTTAGCTCACCTGTCGTTCATCACGAGCGGTTCACCGTTCCTCAGCCACCGTACGGTGACCTCTGGGTGACCTCTGGGAGGGTCACATCGGAGCACCACGTCGCCGCCTTGTGTGGCCTTGGATGGACGTGGCCACCTACGAAATTCGTCCCTTAGGGCTGAAACACGGGACGCAGAGAAGCTGAGCTCAACGACACGTCAGGCCTTCTGCTAAGGCGAGCGGGCAGCATATCAATGATCGGAACGGCGGTCAAATGACTGAATGCCAAGTATCCATCAGAGGTCACGTGACTAGCCGGCGACGGTCGTTGACTTTGTGACGGCTGGTGCTCCTCAGCAGGAGATTTCGAGTTGCATTTATTATGTATAAAGGGAACTATAAATACATTCTGAATGGCTACCAGCATTCCAAGGCAACTTAAGAACATTATCATGGTAAGTACCACTCTTGGCTCGGTCACTTAAGGCCGAGTCCACACACAATAAGGAATGGTTGCGGTAAAGCGTAATTGATATTATATGTATACGAGTTCTCTCATTCAGGTAAACGAAAGGATCAAATTTTCTTAATGCCACTCAAAGTCTGGAGAGATTGTCCGCATCAGCGCTCCAGAATAAACGGAGGCTTTTTAGTAAGGGCTTTCTCTCGCTCTCCAGTTTCAGATGGCTAATTACTTTGGACATTCTGAAAGGAAGCGATTTGAAGAAAATGACAGTCCATGTAATGCAGTTAACGAACTCCGCTCGCCGGACACTCACGTAACCGTCAATCTATTGTTTTCGAGTTATGGTTGTGCAAAGTAGGACTAAGTTGCAAAGTAGAACTTTGATTAAAAAGGGATGCAATAATGTCTCAACTCATTTTGGTTTTTCTTAAAGGAAAAGGGCCACCTTCAACATGGGGATTGAAACTGAGATAGCCATCTTGTAGCCCGTGTCCGAAAACCTATCTGTACACCTCCTTACGGCCGATTTCGGCCTCCATTCGTAGTTATCGGCAATTTTAAAAGAAAATATGCCAGGAATGCGTCCTTATCCCAGGAATGCGTTCTTATCCGACAATACAGCCACCCGCGGCGAGGCTTTGGTTTTTTACCAATCAGCTCCAACCAGCTCAGCTTTAACCAATCAGCTTATCTGACACAATCCGACGAGTCTGTCTTCTGAACGCTGATTGGCTTGAGTGTGACGTCATCGCTATGCCATCATACAGTAGGTGCACTCAAAACTTTTTTACCACCTCCTGGATGATTCATTTTCACCAAACCCGCAAGATAAGAGTATATTGAAAGGGTACCTCGCTGCTACCATTATGTGCATGGTAACGGTACGTGGTTCAATTGAAGTTATTCGCCAGCAAAGAGTGTTATTACCATGTAAATATCAATATTACTCTCGCAATCCTAGACATGACGAAAACTCTTTCCTCCTGGGTATCGTGCCTCCTGTGCAGGTGGTCGTTTCATGCGTGGATCTTGTTTACCCTCGTGAAGACAATATTTGAAAGAGTATCAATCAGCCAATCAAAAACGAGATCGGCCGTTTGAAGGTTGAAGGCCGCGCGGCGCGCGCGCATCTGTCAGTTTTCCGTCGTTGGTCTCCGAGGGAGAGTGTGAGCAGTGTCGGTGCGGCGCCACGTGGCCGTTGGTGATTGTGCTTGTGTGCTGTTCATCGCCTATAGAGCCTCTGCGGACATTTTATTGTAAGTACCGATGTGATAGAGCATTGCGTGCTGTTGAGTGGTGCTTGTTTGATCTGGCTAACAGAACCCCGTGCACGGCCACGTGGCAGAGTGTTGTAAGTAGGTACATACATTTTGTTGTGATGCATTTTGTTGGCGACTTAGAAAAAGCCATGCACTGTAGTGATGCAGTTTAATTATCCCACGTAGACGGGCGACAATCCAGGAACGCTGCCGTTCACTTCAAATGTTGTGCGCTGTGCCTTATCCAATTCGAGGGAGCTTTATTATCATTTATATTCAAGTATTCATTTAAAGTGTTCATATTTAGGTTGCATTCAAGTTGTATCGTAATGTTTATTTACCGCGTGTGCATCGCTGAACGCTTTGTTCACTGAAAACTTTTTTCCATTTCCTGAAGGGTAAACCCGCCATAGCATGGTATGCTTGACACACAGACGTTTTTTACCACCCTCCAGATGGTTAATTTTACTCTTTCATGAAGAGTAAACTCGTCAGTGAGGGGTAACGTGACACACAGACGTTTTTTTACCATCTTCTGTATGGTAAACTCTTTTGATTTACTTTCGTCTAAAGGGTAACATTTTCGAAGTTACACGCCGTGGAAGGGTCACTCTTTAACTGACCCTCCTCTAAAGAGTAGCATGCCATCTACTCTGTGATTTACCCTCTTGCAGAGAGTATACCCTTTTGGCTTACCCTCAGTCAAATGGTAATGCTTACTCTTCCCTAAAGAATTTACCCCCAGAGGATGGTAGCTTGACACACAGACGTTTTTTAGCACCTTCCAGATGGTAAATTTTACTCTCTCATGGAGAGTTAACTCGTCAGGGAGGGGTAACGTGACACACAGACGTTTTTTGCCATCTTATGTATGGTTAACTCTTTTGATTTACTCTCGTCTAGAAGGTAACATTTTCGAAGTAACACGCTGTGGAAGGGTAACTATTTAACGTGACCCTCCTCTAAAAAGTAGCATGCCATCTACTCTGTGATTTACCCTCTTACATAGAGTATATCCTTCTGGCTTACCCTTAGTCACATGGTGATTTTGCTCTTTCCTTTAGTGTAAACCCCCCAGAGGATGGTAACGGGCCCACAGACGCTTTCTTCAGAAGCTTCGCGAAGCTTCTGATAACCGGAGTTAATCAACATGCTTCAAGAGCAACTCTATATATTTGGCATTCCGTACAAACAATACGAGGGGTTCACCAGCCATGAACATTGTGAGACTCTCCACTTATTCATACGGAGTTATAACTCCGTGTGCCCATCGAATCACGAATGAGACTCTCCACTTATTCATACGGAGTTATAACTCCGTATGATTAAGTGGAGAGTCTCACAATGTTCATGGCTGGTGAACCCCCCGTATTGTTTGTACGGCATGCCAAATATATTGTTGCTCTGGAATCATGTTTTTAGTTGATGAACTCCGGTTAACAGAAGCTTCGCGAAGCTTCTGAAGAAAGCGTCTGTGGATCCGTTACCATCCTCTGGGGGATTTACACTAAAGGAAAGAGTAAACATTACCATGTGACTAAGGGTAAGCCAGAAGGATATACTCTATGTAAGAGGGTAAAGCACAGAGTAGATGGCATGCTACTCTTTAGAGGAGGGTCACGTTAAAGAGTAACCCTTCCACAGCGTGTAACTTTGAAAAATGTTACCCTCTAGACGAGAGTAAATCAAAAGAGTTTACCATACAGAAGATGGTAACAAAACGTCTGTGTGTCACGTTACCCCTCCCTGACGAGTTTACTCTCCATGAGAGAGTAAAATTTACCATCTGGAAGGTGGTAAAAAACGTCTGTGTGTCAAGCTACCATCCTCTGGAGGGTAAACTCTTTGGGGAAGAGTAAGCATTACCATTTGACTGAGGGTAAGCCAGAAGGGTATACTCTCTGTAAGAGGGTAAATCACAGAGTAGATGGCATGCTACTCTTTAGAGGAGGGTCACATTAAAGAGATACCCTTCCACAGAGCGTAACTTCCGAAAATGTTACCCTCTAGACAAGAGTAAATCAAAAGAGTTTACCATACAGAAGATGGTAAAAAACGTCTGGGTGTCACGTTACCCCTCACTGACGAGTTTACTCTCCATGAAAGAGTAAAATTTACCATCTGGAAGGTGGTAAAAAACGTCTGTGTGTCAAGCTACCATGCTATGGCGGGTTTACCCCCCAGGAAATGGTAAAAAAGTTTTCAGCGTGCCGTAGAGAGTATCAACATAGTACCAATATGTTAAATAGTTTTAAATACTTTTTCGCGAATTGTGCACTTCTGGCACCAGTTTTAAAAAGAAAATGAAAAATAATAATGTCAAAATGAAAAACAACGATATCTTCATATTTCACGAAGGTGGCCCTTTTCCTTTAAGTCAGGAATATCGAAGCGCCTTAGGTGTAGAACCGACTATTCTCAGATAACAATTCACTTGAAATGCGGATGCTACGGTGCAGCCTCATGATCTTTTTTGCACCACCGGAGGCCTCTTGCACCAAAATCCTCTTGCACCAACGCTCGGATTATTTTGCATCGTATGCCCAGTCCGAGTCTCAAATGTAACAATTGATGTGCAAAATTTAGCAAGCACATGTAGCATTATGTATTGGGCTATTGCAAACAAATTTACCACCGTTAGATTATCTTATTCTGAAACCGGTGGTTCGATTTTACCTAGCTAGGTAGTTTGGTGCAAGAGGCCTCTGATCATGCGTTTCCAAATACCTGAACTCAAAAATATATTTGAAAAAAAAATGTAAAAATGCATCTCCAATTATAGAGAAACCGTGTTGGCTCATAAAATATACTTTTGATGCCGAACCTTGCGAGCCAGTATTCGTGTGCAGCTCAAATGATCTAATGATGTCCCGTTACTCGTCATGCAGGATACCTAACAGTTGCAGCAAAAACAAGTCGAAGGTAGCATAAGCTGAGAAGTATTTACATCTTTATTTCCCAGGGAGACAGACGCTGAGGCTAAAGTATTGTATTTAGAGCTCCGTAGTTTGTAAGATAACAAGAAGACCGATAGGTGATGATATATTTGTCTTGGCATCACAACCGAACAGTCGCAAAGGCTGATGGTGATGCAAGCAGTGTTTTGAAGTGGAAATCGAGCAAAGGATCCTCAAGACTGACTCAGTGTCGGTTTGGCTTTGCATGAACGATTCTTGGACAACTGTCTTTAGCGAACACAACATCACAAAGTAGTAGTAGTTTATACGTAATTGAAAGCTTAGAAGATCAGCGATGTGCAATGTTATGAGCGGTGACATTGCAGCATAACAATGAATTGCATACCATCACAATTTACTAACGAGTACCCTTACACTCTGCAACACGTTACCCAAAGATATAAACATCTAACGGCTTTTCCACATCAAAGCACACCATCCACACCCAACTTAAAATGAGCAGCACACGCTCACAATACCTCACGGTAACTTTCAGAGACCTTTCAAAGCGGAGCAATGATACCATTTCAGTGTCTGAAATTTACTACCAACGAGCGCAGTGACGGTCTCGACTTCACGAGACCACTCTGGCCGTCACCGAAAGCGGCGCCGCTCTGCCGAGAAGCGCCACCGGACCTGCCGTAAAGCGAGAGAGGTGCTCCCGACTCGACAGCCAGCTGTCGCGGCCTCCTAAAGCGTCCGACCTGACAGTCAGGTGGCCGTTACAGGCCGTATATGACCGGCGGCACTTCATCGGCAACGGCGGGAGCACGGCGTAGGAAATTGGAAAGGAACACGCGTGTCCGTGTGGTATGGAAGCTGTGTCGAGGACAGTGCCCTTTGCATAAAGAAGAGACAGTGATACAAGAAATGAACATGCTGATGATATGAGGAGGGATGAATCTGCATGTGACTATCAGAACCCACCCGAGAGAGAGAGAGAGAGAGAGAGAGAGAGAGAGAGAGAGAGAGAGAGAGAGAGAGAGAGAGAGAGAGAGAGAGAGAGAGAGAGAGAAAGGAGAGAGAGAGTGAGAGAGAGAAAAAAGGTAGAGAAGGAGAGAGAGAAAGAGAGAGAGAGAGAGAGAGAGAGAGAGAGAGAGAGAGAGAGAGAGAGAGAGAGAGAGAGAGAGAGAGAGAGAGAGAGAGAGATAGAGAGAGAGATCTAGGCAGACGAAAAGAGACAGACAGACAGACAGACAGACAGACAGACAGACAGACAGACAAACAGGCAAACAGGCGGGGAGGCAGACAGACAGAAACAACACGCATGCAAACAACTAACACAGACTGCCCGCCCCATCGGTAACTCACTTGCAACGACGAGCGTGGCGTTTCGGCTCTCTGCCTCCCCGGCGGCGCTCTCTGCCCGGCACTGATACACTCCTGCATCCCTCTCTTTGGCCGCCAGAAAGAACAGACTGCCCGGCGCCAGGACGAGTCGGTCGGGTCGTCCGCCGGTCACCGGTCGACCGTCCTGGAGCCAGACGATGCGCGCCGCGGGGTGGCCGGCCGCCCGGCAGTTGAGGGTCACCGGCTGACCCCTGGCCACCACTGACCCCACCGGGTGCTCGATGATCCGGGGCGGGGACCAGCCTGCCGGGAGGGGGGGGGAGGGTTATAGGGGGATGGCGGGTGGGGTGGGGTTCTGGAGAAGTTGGAAGGCGTTTTATCACCTATTAAATGTCTTATGGCGTAGCATTCGGAGGGCCTTTTTGCAAAAGAGCTTCCGGATTATGCCATCTTATCCGCAGTCCAATTGTACTTACATAGTAGGAATGTTTATATTCAGATGATTCGCCGGACACACTTGCATTATAGACGACGAAGGTGGAGGTGTAAGGCTACTTATCATTCCAAAATTCCTTTCCAACCCATACATTATTCTCTCCATGAGTCCCAGAAATTGACAGGCGATGGACATGATTGTAAATCTCGGTTCTCACAGCCAGAAATCCGACGTTAAACTAAATGATCGATGAGACGGTCGTTTTGTTTAAAACAGCAAGCACGCTGTTACATATTTGCGCAAATATAGGTATGCCTATTTAGGTGTCTTTTGGAACGGATTCCACTATCCGTTTACAATATTTGATGCCTCATATCCATCGACGCACCCTGCCCAGGGGTCATAAATGGCGATCAATAATTGAATTCGGCTCACCCTACACGACCAACGTTACGACGCTTTTACTGTCTAATTAATGAGAGGCCAAACCAATTTGACAGTAAAGGCATTTCTCCTAATTTCTAAAGACATCGCCCACCATTCAGCCTTCCTTCCACAAGCTTCAGAGGCATTCTAACCGCACACGTGTCGTGACCAAACAAATGAGGCCGGTGGTTTTATAACACTCCGTTTTTGGTTGCCGTATCGACAAAACACCCCCGCCACGATACTGCAAACTTCCACCATAACTGGAGCAGCCGCATCTAGTGCAAAAATCCACCGAAAGCGGCCGGTCGTACCGGGCCGCTACAGGCGCTATTCTACCGAGAACAGTGGAGTCTACCGCCGCCACTGACCGCTCCCCTGCCCTGATTGGGCCGAGTCGAGGTCTGATTGGCTGGGTGGTCCTGATTGCCCCTGTCCGGTCGGACAGACAGACAGACAGACAGACAGACAGGCAGACAGACAGACACAGGCCGATGCAGGTGGTGCGAGCCTAAGCCACCGTGTGAGATGGATGGCGGCCGTGGGAAGACTGCGTGGGCAGGAGTCTGTCTGTTGGGAACCTGTGACTGACGCTAACTGAAATCTACAGTGCAGGCTTAGTAATTTAGGCAGATGACACATCATGTTGTTTCCCCACTAAATAATTTGTTGAGACTCCATACTAAGATTTCAATGCAATAATATAACGTGGTTCAACCTTTACATGAGAATTAAACAAGGCACTTAAAATGCTATTGAAACGCTATATTACATAAACTCTTCCAACTTGTTATCAAAGGTATAGGCCGACATTCTTTCGATATTCTTTTGGTTTTGCGACACGATATCTGACATGGAAAAATAGCGAACCAATATATTTGTAATAGCTGAATGTCGTGTTCAGATTATAGCAAGTAAGTTTTTGATAGACTATATAAGATACTTAACCAAGGACAGCGCCTTCACGTCACACCGGTCCGCCATTTCTAACAGCTTCGCCGAATGACAGTGCCACTAATGCAACTATCGAATGACCCTTTTGTCGAGGTCAGTCACCACCGTCCCAACTATCGTTAACTATCTGAAACTCTCGGCTGACTCGATTTCCTGTGCCAGCGGAGCGTTCAGTCACCTGACGAGGCCGCGGCGATATTCCTGCAGGCCTCGTCGCTGAACAAGAAGACGAGATCGCGGTTCTCCGGAGGCCTGTAGCTTCCAACTGCCCCCGGCGGCCCTGCCTCGTGCCGCTCACAATAGCCGGCCACCGGCACGGAACAGGGATTGGACGCCGAGGTTTTTGACCCCACCCCAGGCAGGTCACAGAGCCATCTCATCCGATGCTGCGAATGCTTATACCTGCCCCCCCCAGCTACGCAAAGCGGCCATAAGTAATCAACTATCGGCGAAAAGGTCTGGCTCGGATCACAACGGATCAGAAATGGTTTGAGCTAAGCGATGGACGGATTGATATCTCAGCGCTTCTTTGTATGGGAGGAACCTAATATTTGCAATTTCCATCAACAAACAGGAAGCTTAGGATGGGTTCTCGATTTAGCCAACTCATACCATTATTATCTCAATATCGTGATGTCCGTATAAAGCAATAACCATTAGCTTTATTTCTTGACTTTCTACGTGGCTGGTTTTACGTGATGGCGTGGTAGGGTGATGGAAATTGCCTCTCTGTATCAGAGCGGTATGGGCGGTAACCAATTCCAATCTCAGACGCTGCCGATGCCCGCGGTTAGTATACTTCCAATCACATCTCCCCTCGCCAACTTTGTGGACAGATTTTCTGGTATTTCTTTCCCCATCTGACTCTCCCCATCTCGTTCTCACTCCCTCGCATTCCCAGTCTCTCTGTCTGTCTGCCTGGTATGTTTGTTTGTCTGTATGTCTGCCTGTCTGTCTGTCTGTCTGTCTGTCTGTCTGTCTGACTCTTTCTATCATTATCCCTTTCTCTCTCTCTCTCTCTCTCTCTCTCTCTCTCTCTCTCTCTCTCTCTCTCTCTCTCTCTCTCTCTCTCTCTCTTTCTCTCTCTCTTTCTCTCTCTCTTTCTCTCTTCCCCTATATCTCTCCCCCCTCTCTCTCTTTCTCTCTTTCTCTCTCTATCCCTTCCTTTGTCTTTTCCTTTCTTGCTCGTCCTTCCCTTGTTTTTTTTCTTTTTTGGGGTGTTTGATACGCTTTGGACTACGCGAAGCCAAATAACACGATTTGTGGCGTCTTATGAAGGGGATAGCCTGCTTCTGCTTGTGTGTGCTTGCGTTTGTAAGTTAGTGTGATGGTTGTCTGAAAAACAAATAACATGACGCACAACAACGTGTTTTATTCTTAACCCGCGCCCCGCTGGGGGGGGGGGGCAGAATCTGCCCCCCCCCCCTCCCGTTTTTCGCCAATAACTTCTAAACGCGTTACGCCAGCGACGTCAAACTTTCAGTACCTTATCATACATCAATTTGACACGTTCCCTAAAAATTTTAGCGAAATCCGTCGGAAAATTTTTGAGAAAATGACGTTTTAGTGACGTCATGTTCGCCATTTACGCCTCAAAAATGGCAAAATTTCAAACGCCGCTAACATCGTCATTTTTAAAGAAATCAAGACGCAACAAAAAAGGTTATACGTGATTCTACTTTGTCTATCAAATGGTTATCTCGGTTTTTTGAAAATTTTGGATTTTGGCCCAAATTTTTTCAAAAAACTGACTTTTTTGGGAAAATATTTATAAAATCCGAATTTTTGAGTGTATCGAAAAAACCGGATTATATGTCAAAGAGGTGGTCTATGTGACCTACATACCAATTTTTAGAAGAATCGGTTCAAAAATGTGGAAGTTATTCAAAAAATTTTGACGTCACGACACACAAAAATTTTGAAAAATGATTTTTTTGGAAGTTCTAGACCTCGTACGGAAACAAAAATAGCACCATTCGATTTGCCGTCAAAAACTGCATCAGATAGACACCTTTTTAGGCCTTAACAACCAACTTCAAAATTTGACCTCAGTTGACCTGACCTTGACCTGACCTCGACCTGAAATTCATCCAGAGGTGGTTCATATCACTTATTGAGTGTGCCTATTGAATTCTATGAGTAAAATGACCCATAAAACATGTGTCGCACATGCCCTTTTCTATATTTTGTTTTTGGTGACCTGACATGACCTGACCTGACCTTGACCTTGACCTTTGAATGACATTGTATGCAACGAATATTGTCTTGGTAGTCTAAGAACACGTTTTGGGCAATCAGTCTCAGTCCATTCTTCGGCAACTACGGTGCAAGGCCGATACTGTAGAAACTTGCATCTTGTACCCTTGACCTGACCTTGACTTGACCTCTGACCTACTTAAGCAAAAAAATTTGGGCTTTTAAGATCCGCCTTGTTGAGAGCTTTCGATTGCCGTTTTCCCCGTCTTTCTACGACCATCGGTTCGGAAGTTAGACAGGGGGGGGGCAGAATCTGCCCCCCCCCCCCCAGCAGGGCGCGTATGGCTGAATAGCCCAGCGGGGCGCGGGTTAACTTAGAGGGACTACATAAAAAACACATTCAATAGAAGCCAGAGGCCTCATCTCACCCATCCTATTGTCTTCGTCTCCCTCGCGCCGACTTCAGCGCGGTTCACTCCTCCCTTCTCCGGTCGGCTCATCTGCGCGGTCACAGCTGAACCCCGCTAATCCCTCTAATGTGATTCGGAAATAATTGTGGCGAATCCAACGGCAAAGGCGCGGCCATATTTCTCCGGACGGCGCGGCTGCGGCGTGGTGCGGCGCGGGGTGGCGCGATTTACGGCGGTTCCGGCGCACCCTCTGTCTGTTGGCGCGGCTGTGACGATAACGGAGCGTAAACAACACTGTATAGCAGATCTGGCCGGCATACGTCGCCAGATTACCGGTGCCAAGTGTGACTGCAATGATAAAACGGCATCGGCATATTGAACACATAAATCTCCGCGGAATTGAAAGTCTTCCCATGCAAGAAAATGTGCGGCCGGCGTGGCTGTTGATCGGAATAGAAAGCGGCCCGACGTCAGCGGAGACGAAACGCCGACGCCATTTTAGCAGGTTGGAGTAGTCAATTTAGCTGAGTACCGATGCATGGAAATTGAGTTTGTCTCCGATCACAGGCTCTGAAAGGGCATATGTTTGCCAGTCGACGATAAAAGGAGTATTGAATAGCGTAAAGTGCTGACTAAATCAAAGCGGGACAAAGTTATGGGCGTCTGGCCTTAAAACTGAACCATACTCACAAAATACGGAGGTGTTTCTTACATACAGTATAAACTTCCTCTAACCATCACCACGAGATGGTGCTCAGGGAATGTCTGTTGAACCCTTCGCTGACCTGCAGCCGCCTAGCACTCTCTATGGCACTAGCAATGACATTTCCCCCATCAGAGGCCGCCGTTCGGGCCATCGCACCAATCCCATCATGGCTCAC